AAGCACTTAAAAAAATAGGGAAGAAGCTGGAGAAGCAAGACTGGGATTGTTTTTGTAATATTAATAGGTTCTCTGTTGAGAGAAATATACCGGAAACGTGGAGAGGAGAAGCAATGAAAGAAGGATCGCATTAAATTTGATATATAACATTATCGTGACATGACTACTCTTACATGTCAAACATATATAATAAAATTAAAAATTATTATAAAAAAAGACTCATACAGTTCCCTCTTATCTATTTAATTAGTAAAATAATTTTTGGCTGTGAAACTATAGTGTTATTAGAGAGGATCAGGGATAAAATGATATTGTAAAACTTAGCAATAATAATCGCAAGTGCAATCAAGAGCGAGTGAAGCCTCTTTACAATGACAGTTGAAAACATTGTTTACTTTATCTCTCTTAAAATATGATAAGCATTCACGTCGGGACCAGTGCAATATGCATCCCAATAACCAACCTTCTTGCACACCCTCCTCTTTGCCTCCATCTCTATTGTTTTATATAGAAATCACAAGATATTTTTAATAAACAATATTGAAAACTCACGCGACAAAAAAATAATATTACAATAATGTTTTTGCTAATCAAAATTCTAAATTTTGTTAGTAACAATATATATGCAGCGTTAATTATATATGAATAATATATTACCTGGAACCTGATTCAAAACAAGGAACATAACAACACCAAAAAGAAAGAGTAACATAGCAGAAAACCTTATAACTTTACAATTTGATAAAATATTATTTTCGTTTTGTTGTATTAGCTTAACTAATCTCGTATATATAGATACATATGGTAAAACATAGACCCTTGATTCTATTAAAAAACAAGGGTGGAGCCAAAAGCTGAACACCTTTATTTACGATTACTAATAATAGATGTAATCAAATTCTATAAATAATCATTTAACCAGACTCTGTGATGTAAATTTGTAAACGTGTATATAAAAGCACGCAAGGCGACGAGGATTTCAAGCACGTTGTCAAAGTTAAGAAGATCCTGCATGTTTTAAACAAGAAAAATGGACGTCAATTAAATTTGTTTACATGTATGGAACGAATTAGCCACTTTAATTAGCCACTTTAGTGGAGTCTTCTTAACTAATTTTGTTTACTTAAAACGAAAAGTATTTGGGTTTCTTATTTTTGCAATTTTGCCGATTTGAGCAGCGGATCAAGCGTACCTGTTTTTGGTTATATTGTAACTTGTAAATAATAAATATTTACGTTTGTCTGTTGGCATTCCAAGTGCTTTGGTTTCTGAAAGCTCTTGCGTTTAGAAAGTTTACGTGTTACATTTATAAGTTTATAACCGTTCATAGCATAATTATTTGGAAGGCACGAAATGGTACCAACTTGTTAAAGATGCTGATGTTGAATTGTTGATGGTTTTAGGAAGATATAATAAAACTTAGCAAGCAATATTACAATCAATGGCGAATAAGATAAGGGTAATTAGCTTCATTACAACTGCAATCAATATTCTTGTTTTAACAAAAAATAAATGATGCCCTAAGCGAATGTTTAAATTTTTTTTTTAGTAGGCACGTCTCTTCTGGAGATAAAAGTAGTGGTGAATAATGTTTATCAAAGAATTTAGGAGGAAGAAAAATATGTATCGTCACGATGAAGAAGTGATGTTTTTTAGGAAAATGTTGATTTGCTGAGGTGGATGATCTAAAAAGTCCAAAACTTCTCCTTAATACTTCTTCCGTTTATATTATGTTTAAGAGTAAGTTATTTAAAGTTTTTTTTTTAAATAAAAAATGTTTTATTATCAATTCCAAAATAATAACATGCTGAATTCAAAGAGTTAAAACAATAAAAATACAATTAATTTTTGTATAGATAAATGAAAACATCAACTATTCTTGAATAAAAAAAACTCTAAAAACATCTTTTATAAATAAAAAAGAATAATAAATAAGTAAATAATATTCTGGCTGTGAAGAAGTTGGGGGATAAAGTGGTATAGTAAAACTCAGCAATAATAATCACAATTGCATGTAAGATCGGGTGAAGCCTCGCGACATCGACAGTTGAAAACATTATTTACATTATCTTTCTTGAAAAATGATACGCATGTAGCATTCTGTTGGAACTTGTCACCACGGCAATATGCATACCAGTGACCAACCTTGTTGCACACCCTCCTCTTTGCCTCTATCTCTATTGTTTTATATAAAAATTACAGAGATATTTTTAATAAATAATTAAAAATTCACGCAGCAAAAATAATATTGCAATATTCTTTTTGCTAATCAAACTTCTAAATTCTGTTAGTAACAATATACAATGTTAATTATGTATGAATAATATATTACCTGGAACCTGATTCAAAACAAGGAACATAATCATAACACCAAAAAGAAAGAGTAATGTAACAGAAGACCTCATAACTATAAAATTTGATAAAATTATTACTTTTTGTTTTGTTGTATTGGCTTAACTAATCTCGTGTATATATATACATACATAAAACACATGGTAAAAATAGTTGGTTCTATAATAAGACAAAAATGGAGCCAGAAGTCAAACCTATTATTTACGATTACTAAAAGTAGATGTAACCAAATTTCGTAAATAATCAGTTAAAAAGAGTCTGCGATGTAAATTTGTACACATGGATGGATATAAAGGCGAACAACGTCATGAGGATTTCAACAAAAATGATTTTGACAAAGGTGAACAATGATGAAAACACAAACAATATTGTATGGCCTTTCTTTACTAACTAATGAGTTGGAAGTTCTGAATATAAATGATTCAAACATTTTCGGACTCTTTTATGGACCAATAAACTTTTTTTTTAAGCCCGCAAAACTATAAGAAGAGCAGATTTTTGGGTCAGTGTTCCTAGTTCAGCCCACCATAAACCTGAAGCCCAACGAAGCTCAAACCTAGGTCGTATCAAAATCATCCCATTAGGGTTTTTGGCGGTCTGGAGACTCTGGAGGTTTCGTTTTCACTTTGATGAATCGGTGAAGAATGAAGATGGTGCTGTCGAACAAGAAGCTGAAGCAGAAGATTCGAGAAGATTTGGTTAATTCTCTATCTGTGACTGAGACCATGCCCTCTTCCTCTTTTTATAACTCCTAACTGTATTGCGATCATTAACTAATGTCTTTTACCGTTCGCCATTTAAATATCAAAATCTAAAAAGCATGAGGTATTGTCAGTCGTCAATACATCTTATTATAATAATAAACTGATACGTAGGACAATATTTAAAAAAAATTAAAATTTGTAATTTATAAAATATAATATAAAAAAATAAGATATAAACGTGTTATTTTCATGGTTAGATTTTTTTATATATTATAAAAAATGAATTTAAATTTTGTAAGTACAAAAATATAAAATTAAAAATAAAATATTATAAATTATTTGTTATTGATTCAAATATATTATAACTATAACTATCGTAATTTTTTGTTTTTGTTCTTTTTCTCCATTCTCTTATTTTTAAAAATTCATCTTCTTTTTCTTTGTTCTTCTCTTCTCTTCCACTTTTCCTTTTTTTCTCCGTTCTTCTTCTTATTCTTCATTTTTTTTTCTGTTTTACTTCTCGTTTTTCTGTTTTTTCTTCTTTAGTTTTTTTCTCTATTTTTCTTTTCTGCATTTTTCTTTTTCTCCATTTTTGTTTTAAGTTCCTTTTTTTTATGTTATTCTTCTTCCTTCTTACTCTTATTTTATTTTTATTAATTTTCTTCTATGTTTTTTCTTTGTTTCTCTTTCATTTCCATATTTTTCTTTATTCTTCATCTTTTTCCTCATTTTTTCTTTTTCGTACTTTTTCTGTAATTTTTCTTCAGCTTTTTGTTTTTGTTTGTTTTCTTCTTCGTGTTTTCTGTGTTTTTTCCTATTTTCTTTTCCTTTTTAATATTTTCTTATTCTTTAATTTTTTTTAAAAACATTTTGAAAAACAAAATAAAAATGGAAATTTCTTATACTAAATAATTAATATTATGCTGTTTAAAAAATAATTAATATTATATAAATAATTGAATATATATATATATATATATTATGGTGATAAAATATTACATTTAATAAAAATATATATAAGACGAACCGATATAAATTTTGTATTTTAATTATAAACTTGATTTTCTAGGTATATGAATATTTATTTAGGAAGTCCAATTGCAAAAATAAAAAATAAAAAATATTGACATATAGCCCTAACCTAACATATTTTAGGTTCTTTGGAAAAAATAAAATTTAGACCTTAATAATATTTTTAGCATTTTCTATATATATTTTTAATAAGTTTCGAATTAAAAACAAAAAAATAGATGGTTCTAAATTTTAAATAAAGATAGGCATTTTATAAGAAGGATAACAAAATATTGGGCCTCTAATGAGAAGAGTATAAAAAATTAGACATTAATGATTTAATGAATAAAATAGATTTAATAAATTGTATATATACATAATGAAAGTCCAATAGCATATTAAGTAAATATTCTCCTAAAGTGGATTCTCTTTTAATATAATAGATGAGAAGTCACAAAAATGGAAAATTAATTTTTACCTTATTGACCAGAAGTCTGATACGAAAATGCTTCTGCACAACGTTAAACCAGTGTTATGTTGCCGTTGAGGCCAAATTTAATAAAATTGATCATGACTCGGTAGGAAGAACTATTTAAATATCATAAACAATAAAAAGTCTTAATTTGTGCATATCAGTTTAAAAACATAAACAACAACTAATGTACAGGACGAAGTAAGGACCTCACGTAAAAAAAGAAGATGCATGCGACGATGAATATGATAGTGAATATATCAGTCATGAATAAATAAATAAAAAACTATAGAGTATAGATAATAGTATGTAGAGTAGATAATAAATTCCTTTTTCTTTTGTTTTCGGAGTAAAGTCTTAAAGCTAATAAATATAGTGCCCTTTCTTTTGTTTCGGAGTAAAGTATTGAAGATACAAAATGTCATTTTCCTTTGTTTTGGGAGTAAATGGAGAGACAATAAATGACCGGTATGTGACGTAGGTGCTTGTCTTCAATAATTCGTTGACTTTACATGACTGTTTTAATAGGGTTTGTATGGCCGCGGTATATTGTATCCTCGTGTTTCTTTTACAAGCTGCTCTCTTTATTTGGTATTTTTGCAAGTCCAACTTCATTACTACAACAACAACAAAAAATAGCCAGAAAGTGTTACAAGTGACGACATATATATTTTTCTTGATCCAGCTTGGTTACGTGATCATATATTTTTCTTGAGGCACATAATGGCGATTGATTTCTTTGCCTTGCGATATGTTTTTCATTTGAATTTGTTTGGACTTCTCTGTTTCTCTTGAGAGCTGCCTTTCTTTACAAAACCTTACAAAACTTGAGAGCTTTCTTTTGGATTTCTCTTCTTTGGGTTTCGTTTTCCATTTCTCTTAATTTACATTTTTTTTTTGCTTTTTTTCTCAAACTTCTCATTTTTTATTTTCGGCTACCGCTATTCACTTCCCCTCTCAATTTTTTTACAAGGAAAAATGGTTGCAAACCATTCTCTGTCTAAGCTGTCTTTGGTTATTGTAATCACACTACTTGTCAGTGGGGTTTTCGAATTTTGTAACAGCAAAAACCTTCACCATGCTGAAGGTACTAAACGTACTCATTGAATTTCTTTATTTCCGAACATTTTTATTATGTCGATTCTCACCCAAAAAAAACCCTAACCCAATATTTGATTATGATGATGTTAATTAATTGAAATGGGAAGTGGAAGCACTTAAAAAAATAGGTAAGAAGCTGAAGAAGCAAGACTGGGATTTCGGCGAAGATCCTTGCAGTGGATATGGAAACTGGAGTGTTCTAACTAATCCTCTTATCCGGAGCAGTGTCATCTGCGATTGCCAGCAGTCCAGCTTATCGTGTCACGTTATTGAAATGTCAGTATGTTATTTTCTTCTTCAATTTCTGATACATATCAATCTAAAAAACATATTTGTCATAACTCCCTTAATATTCTATAATAAAAAATTCATTTGGTAAAACCGTAAGAGATGTTTATAGTGTCTTGTTTCTAGTGTTCAAAACCTCGTTTCATGGACTGTATTATGTAGTTTGTTCTGTCTAATTCCTCTTTATTTATTTTTCTTTGATAATTTCAAATGAATGACTAAAATTCTTTTGTTGACAAAATAAATACGAACCTTATTTTAAATATATATTTCTAATTAATTAATTAGAAAACAACTAAATTAGAAAACTAAATTATGTCATTTGGCCAATAGATTTTCAAGGAGGAACACAGATGAATTACTTTCATGGTTGTTAATATTGAAATAAGAATCCAAAAAATTAAGAAATTTTTTTCCTACTTGTATATATAGTCTATCTCCCCAAAACAAATGTATGAACTTGATACATAACAAACTCCATATTTTTTGATTTCTTTCTTTTGCAGCGTTTTGACGTCGCAGAATTTAACAGGCATTATCCCCCCAGAGTTTTCAGAGCTGCGTTATCTTAAATCTCTGTAAGAAAATAAATAGATTTAATTTTCTAATACTTTCTCAAACTTTAATTGTATAATGATTCTTAACGCATACCATATTGGTCCAGGATCCTTGACCGTAACTGTCTTACTGGTTCAATTCCAAAGGAATGGGGTTATATGCATTTGGAAGAGTTGTAAGATCACTGTTTTTAATGTTGTGTGATAAATAAATTTATTCACTAATTAATGATTGTTTTCTTAATTTGTTGGTTCATTGGACATATCCAGATCTTTTTTGGGGAACCGATTGTCTGGTTCATTTCCGGAAGTGCTAACACGCATCACATCGCTCCGAGTTCTGTAAGATATTGTATCTTTGTATTGATTTACATAATTTTGATTAACCAATGACTTGTATTGTGATTTATTTATTGAAAACATAAAAATCTCTCTTTTGCATACTTGTTGATGTAAAATACTTGTTCTTAGTTGTAGTTATGATTAAGGTTCTAGTAAATGTCACCATTTGAAATTGTGCAGAAACCTCGAAGGAAACCAGTTTTCAGGACCAGTCTCTCGTGAGATTGGAAAGTTGGTCTATTTGGACGAACTGTAAAATTCTTTTTCTCATGTCATTGTCTAAATTTTGTATACTTTTTGTTGGTACTTCTTATTCTTCTTATTCTTATAATCCTGTAATCTGGTATTGCTGCAGATATCTCTCTTCCAATTCTTTCACTGGCCCTTTGCCTGAACAATTTGGACAGCTCAAGAACCTGACTCATTTGTAAGGATAAGTTTTGACACATTGTTTATATGACAACAAATGAATAAATTCATTCTTTAATTTGTTAGTTAAGTGCATTATATTGTTAGTTAATGTTTTTTTAATATATTTGTATTTCTCGAATATGTGGTGTGGTAGAAGGATAAGCGACAATAATTTTACCGGACGAATACCAGATTTCATTGGAAGCTGGAGACACATAAGTTGGCTGTAAGACAACTTCTTTCTTCCAAAGTAGTTGATGTTCTCATTGAAAATATAAGAACTGAAGAATTGTTTTGCAGGGAGATGCTTGGTAGCGGTCTGGATGGTCCATTACCTTCTAGTACTTCGTCCCTGACCAGCTTGGTCAACCTGTATGGCACCATTAAAAAGTCAATTCCTTCTCGATCCATTTCCTCTTAACACATTGTTGCTTTGTTGTGTTTGTAACTGGCAGCCGGATTAGCGATCTAGGAGGGAAACTGTCCTCTTTCCCCGCACTGAAGAATTTGAAATCTCTCCAGATACTGTGAGTTAGAAATACAATATTCATCTGGTGTGTTACGTGTGCATGCAGTAAAAAGCTACTGTATATCCTAGAAAACATGATACCGTTTCATCTTGGATGCAGGGAGTTGAGGAGGTGCAACATAATCGGGCGGCTTCCAATATATATTGGAAATATGACGGGACTTAAAACACTGTAAGTCATCAAGATAAATCATACATTGGAACAAGCATTGGATTAAAATGGATTTTTATGAGCTGAACACAGTATGTTGTTGACTATATATATGCAGGGACCTCAGTTTTAATCTCATGACCGGCAAGATCCCTTCATCCTTAGCCAACCTGAAGTTAACAGATTACATGTAAGGATTTGACTACATGATCAGATAATTTTTACATGTAATGTGTAAACTTAAGTATCAAGTTTACAATCTATATATATGATCAGATAATTTTGAATTATTTTTTTCCATCAGTTACTTGGCAGGAAACAAGTTCACAGGGAGTGTTCCAAGTGACTTTATCGAAAGAAACAAGCATATGTACGATGGGCACATGTCTTGCGTTATAACGCTTCCTCACATGTGCCAATTTATATAGACTAAGAATTGCTTCTTTCTCTTTGATGTGGCAGAGATATATCTTACAATAACTTCACCATACCGAGTTCAATTCCTAGTGGTGATTGTGACAAAACTAATAATGCGTAAGTTGTCACAAATTAACTCTAGTAACACTTTGCTCCCACGTTCACAAAATCATAATCTTGTGCTTTGCTATCTAGGAATTTGGTGGAGAGCTTCTTCGGGTGGAACGAATCGTAAGAAACCATATTTCCAACAATTATGAATGGTTTACTTAAAAGTTTTTCTTCTTCATCGTCTTCTTCTTATTGTCTGAATTTGGTAGTTTCAGGTATAAGCATACCCCTTGTTATTTCCAACACTTCCCTTGCCTTTTGCCTAAAAGAAAGCGTAAGTTAATTAGTTACAACACCGTGTTTGATGTTTCCATGTATTTTTCATCTTAGATTAATTTTTACAATTATTCTTGCAGATAAGTATAAGCTGTACATAAACTGTGGGGGAGATGAGGTAAAAGTCGATCGAGGGAAGAGATACGAAGCTAATGGAGATGGCCAAAGAGCGTCTATGTTCGTCTATGGTGCTGACAAGCACTGGGCATTTAGCAGCAGTGGTCACTTCATGAACGATCTTACGGAAGTGGATGATTACACCGTGTCCAACACGTCAACACTATTGGTCGATGCTTCGTCTCCAAGTTTAATGCTTTACAAGACCGCTCGGATTTCTCCTCTCTTGTTGACCTACTATGGTCTCTGTCTTGGCAATGGGCAGTACACTGTGAGTCTCCACTTCGCGGAGATCATCTTTACCAACGACAGCACATTCTACAGTCTTGGCAAACGAGTGTTCGATATCTATGTTCAGGTACGGGATCGATTCTCTTGTGCAGACGAAGATAATATCATAACAATTAAGTGACATGCATGTTACTTACTTATCTTGGCTTGGGTCGCATGCAGGAGAAGCTGGTGATTAAAAACTTCAATATTAGAGATGCTGCTGGTGGAACGGGCAAGCCAATCATAAAGACATTCGTGGCACACGTGACAAACCACAATCTGAAGATCAGCTTGAGGTGGGCAGGCAAAGGCACAACTTCACTTCCAATTAAAGGAGTTTATGGCCCTATGATCTCAGCTATATCAGTGGAACCCAGTAAGTATTTCTTACTTTAAATTAATTGCTTCTTTTTTTCACTCTTAAAATGAATCTTTAGATCTTATGAGTTGTTTGATATGATGATGACATTTTTGCTTGTGGCAGATTTTAAACCTCCGGCGCATCATCACAAGAAGAATATCCTACTATTAGTAGGAATCATAGTTGCAGTGGTAATCATCGTTTTGGTTATCGTTGTGATATTCTTATGGAAAAGAAGGTGTGACAAAAATGCAATGGACAGAGGTATAGTAGACGTTTGGTCTCTTAACAACTATGCGAACTTCATAGTTTGATACTTTTTTGTGTACACTTATTAACGCTCTAATTTTAAACTGTCTTTTTGACCAAACAGAGCTGAAGGGTTTAGATATTCAGACTGAAATTTTCAGCCTTGGGGATATAAAAGCAGCCACTAATAACTTTGATGCAGCAAACAAGATTGGTGAAGGTGGATTTGGGCCTGTTTACAAGGTTATATTATCCCTCAACTTTCTCTGTTTTTTCTACTCAATGATGCATAATACATTCTGTGAGATGTTGAAGCCTCTATCTCTCTCTCTCTCTCTCTCTCTCTCTCTCTCTCTCTGGTGCAGGGTGTGTTACCTGAGGGGAAAATGGTTGCAGTTAAGAAATTGTCTTCAAAGTCAAATCAAGGAATCCGAGAGTTTGTGAATGAGTTAGGGGCTATCTCGTCTCTACAACATCCAAATCTTGTGATACTTTATGGATGTTGCGTGGAAAAGAAGCAACTGATATTGGTCTACGAGTACTTGGCCAACAACTGTCTCTCTCGCGCGCTATTTGGTCCGTTTCTTAAACTTTTGGACTGCCAAAGACTAGAAACCACTGTGTATTGATACGAATGCCAAAAATATTTGCTGGTGATATTATATTTCGCAGGAAATGACGAGAGACGGAGAAGAAAACTAGAATGGCCGACAAGGAAGAAGATCTGCTTGGGCATAGCTAGAGGACTAACATTTCTCCACGAAGAGTCTGCGATAAAGATTGTGCACAGGGATATAAAGGCGAGCAACGTGTTGCTTGATGAGGATCTCAACCCTAAAATCTCCGACTTTGGTTTGGCAAAGCTGAATGATGATGAGAACACACAGATCAATACCCGTATTGCAGGAACACTGTAAGGCCCTTTTTGTTTGTTTTTAACTAACTAGCTAATGAGTTCCAAGTATATATATAGATCATATTTCTTAACCCTACTTGCATATTTCAGAGGATATATGGCTCCTGAATACGCGATGCGTGGTTACTTGACGGAAAAAGCTGATGTTTATAGCTTTGGCGTCGTTGCCATTGAGATAGTGAGTGGGAAGAGTAACTCAGACGTCAAAGTCAAACCAAGTGATAGCCTTCTTGATCGGGTAAGCAAGTCCAGAACAACCTGTACGAGTGTGATTGTGATTCAGTTAACAAAACGTTGTTCTTTAATATTTGGGTTTATCTATTGAACGTAGGCCTACGTTTTGCAAGACAGTGGGTGCTTACTAGACCTGGTTGATCCAGCGCTAGGTTCAGATTTCTCCAAAGAGGAAGCCATGGTGATCTTGAGTGTGGCCCTGATGTGCACCAATACGACCCCGGCGCTAAGGCCAATAATGTCGCAGGTCGTGAGTATAATGGAGGAAAAAACGGCAATGAAAAGCCTTTCGTCGCACGGCGAAGCCTCCACGAGCCTGAACCCTCACGAGAATGACAACTGAAAACATTAGTTTACTTTGTCTTTCTTAAAAGCTGCTACGCAAACGCACGTAGCATTATGGTCACCCCAGCAAATTGCCTCCATCTCTATTATTTTACAAATGAATCACAAATATATTTTTAATAAACAATTGCAAACTAAAGAGTTAATGAGCTTTCTTATTGCACCGGAGGGTTAATGAGCTAACAATGTTTAAATACAAAACGATCTTTAGGGTTCTGAATGGAAAATTAGTTTATACTTTTTTGTAACATCTGCCTTTTAGATGATATTACATTCTGATTCTGAGAGGTGTTGAAGTCTCTCTCTCTCTCTCTCTCTCTCTCTCTCTCTCTCTCTCTCTCTCTCTCTCTCTCTCTCTCTCTCTCTCTCTCTCTCTCTCTCTCTCTCTCTCTCTCTCTCTCTCTCTCTCTCTCTCTCTCTCTCTCTCTCTCTCTCTCTCTCTCTCGTTAAGAAATTGTGTTCAAAGTCAAATCAAGGAAACCGAGAGTTTGTGAATGAGTTAGGGCTATCTTATCTCTACAACATCCAAATCTTGTGATACTTTATGGATGTTGCGTGGAAAAGAAGCAACTGATATTGGTCTACGAGTATTTGGCCAACAACTGTCTCTCTCGCGCACCATTTGGTCCGTTTTTTTAAAATTTTGGATTGCCAAAGACTATAACCCACTATAGGGATGTCAATTTAGGCCAAAGCCGAAGCCTGGCCTGGCCCAGCCCTGAAAAATATCGGGTTTGAGCTTTGATATAAAAGCCCAAAAAATAATCAAGTTTTTTGGGCAAAACCCATTCGGGCTAAGTCCATTTGGGTTTAAGTCCAATCGGTCTCGGGCTTACCCGAAAAGCCCTGTACTTTATATTATAATTTTATTTAGAATTTTTTATTAATAAATTCTCTTCACAATTTTAAAAAAATTAGAGTTATTATTCTTTTTATAATACTCTTTATTAATATAAAACATTAATTTTTAGTTGTGTGTTCATATAACATCAATGATCAAACTAAAATAGTTTCAAGAAGCACTCCTACCTTCATTCTGAAGATTCTCATCTCGATTCTCATCTCGATTCTGTCATTTCCACTATTACATTACTTGTTTATTTAATTATATTTGATGTTAGAATTTATATAAATTTATAAGTTAAAGTTTTGCTTTCAAATTTGATAAAACTATATTTATGATCATTTTAATATTTTATTTTATTTATTTAAAAAACCCGAAAAAGCTTGATAACCCTGTTAGAACCGGACCGGGCTTCAAAATTTAGGCCAGATATATTTTCTGACCGAGCCGGGCCGGGCTTAAATATGTACGGGCTTTACGGGTTTCGGGCCGGGCCGGGCCGGGCCAGCCCGTTTGACATGCCTAACCCACTATCTGGTCCGTTTCTTATTTAATTTTATTACAAATAAAACCTAAAACTCTATAACATAATGTAAAATTTTTCCATGATAGTAATATATTTTAATTAATAAAATTATATATTATATTGTGTCTCATATAAAATTCGTTTTTGGATCTACCTAACTTCTCGACCGTAAATCTAAAAGTGAAAATGATAAATTTATATTTAGATATATTATCAGTTGAATATCATTAGGAATAACAAACGCTAAGCATATATCAAAATCAAATTTGCAAACATTATACGTTCACAATTTGGTTACTTTTTTACCCAACAAAAATAAAATAAATATAAATTAAACTTGATATATAACATTATCCTGATATGAGTGCTCTTACATGTCAACAAATATAATGAAATTAAAAACTATTAGAAAAACTATACTCTGACAGTTCCTCTTATTTATTTAATTAGTAAAATAATATTCTGCCTGTGAAGGAGTTGGAGGATAAAGTGGTATAGTAAAACCTAGCAATAATAATCACAAGTGCAATGAAGATTGGATGAAGCCGCACTACAACGACAGTTAAAAACATTATTTACATTATCTTTCTTAAAAAATGAAACGCAAGTAGCATTTTGCTGGACCTGCTCACCATAGCAATATGCAAACCAGTCACCATACTTCTTGCACACCCTCCTCTTTGCCTCTATCTCTATTATTTTATATAAGAATCACAATGATATTTTTAATAAACAATATTGAAAACTCACGCAACAAAATAATATTGCAATATTATTTTTGCTAATCAAAATTCTAAATTCTGTTAGTAACATTACTCTTGTAAAATATGAGCAACACCAAACCCCTCTAAAGCAATTATATATGAATATAATAATATATTACCTGGAATCTGATTCAAAACAAGGAACATGATAACACCAAAAAGAAAGAGTAAGAGCAACCCCAATGGTAACACAATTAAAAGGGTTTTAATGATTAATTAATAATATTTTGTATACTTTATATATTTAAAACACTGTTGTTTTTATACATACAATGGTGACACTTGATAGGTGTCCTAAAAAAAAAAACCCAAAACTTATTGCAAAGGTGGGTGGTTATAAAAATTGCAAATGCATCGAGTGGTTACAAAAATTGTATTCCGTAATCAAAAGAAATCAACCGAACTGATTATGTCTTATTTACCTTGTTTTCTTCCTGTAACAATTCCTGAACAGGTCTGTACGCAGCAGCAATGCATAGGTTCTGCGATTTTAATACTAGAAAAATAAGAATTATAAACAACTTTTTTTTCTTAAATACTTGGAATATGAATGATCCAAAACCTTTAGATCGTTTCCTGAATATCCTTCGGTTTCCTTTGCGAGTTTATCAAACTGGTAAATCCACATATATCCTACAAAAAACAGAATAACAAATGAGACAAATGTTTTGAAAAAGAACAAGTTGAAAGAACTCAGGACTATGGTTTTCACTTTTCACTTTCTTCGTAGACTACGAATGACAGCGTCATCAAGATCAAAAGGTCGATTAGTGGCACCAAGGATTAGGATCCTTTGGCTATCTATAGTCCTGAGACCATCCCAAGCTGCCATGAACTCATTTCTCATTCTTCGGGTCGCCTCGTGCTCGAAAGAACCACCACGAGCCCCTAACAAACTCTCAACCTATTCGACAACCAAAAAGAAAAATCTCAGTCCGTCCCTGAAAACATGCCGTACCGTTTTCACAAGAAAGTTACAGACAATTTCTCACCTCATCGACAAAAATAATCACAGGCGCTAGTTTGGTTGCAAAGGAGAACAGAGCTTTCGTGAGCTTCTCTGCATCTCCAAACCACTTGTGCCAAACAATGAACGAAGTTAACATGGTCAGATATGCAGTTGGAAAGAGAGAATTGTGGTGGGAATATCGATATAACAGTGCCCATACAAGATAGTTTAAAGGTTTCACGTACCTTTGATGTAAGTGTTGAGCCAGTTATGCTAATGAAGTTTGCACCAGCTTCTGTAGCAAGTAACGTTTTACCCATACTCTATCTCGAGATGGGGAGGTTCAGTTTCACCATCAGCTAGTGCATCAACAAGAAGTTTATCATCTATCGCCAAGCACTTAACCAAAACTTTCTTCGGTCCCTTCTCAGGATTCGCATAGACAAACGCGTATTCCCCATCGAATTAGTTCCAGCCGTCAATCCCAACCTCTATTTAAAATCCAGAATCGAACAAATCAGAAACCCTATTCCCTAGAAAGATCCAGAAACATTGACAACATAACAGAGAAGATGAGGAAGCCAACACTAACCCTGGGTAGGAGACGAAGAGAGAGCGTCGTTGGCGAAGGCAGGCCGTCCGGTGGCAGTGAGGTCGAAACCGGAAGCGAGGAAAGAAGCGTGAACAGCGAAAGCGAATTGAGCTCCGAAATTACCCAGCGAACCACCTTCCTTCTCCACCCGAACCACCTTCCTTCTCTGGTCACCACCCGAACCACCTTCCTTCTCTGGTTCATCGATTAGGCTTCCAGAAATTTTTTCACCAAATTGAAACACAATGAATTTGGGAATTTTTGCGTCAAAGAGAGAAAAGAGAGAAAGAGGAAGAGAAAGATTTTTTTTTTGTCGAAGAGAAAGAGATAGACAAAACAAACAAATGCATTTTTTTTTTTTGGGTGAATGTTTCTGTATCCAATAAAAAATTGACATATGTCCATTCTTAGTTTAGAAAAAAGATCCTAATTTGGATCTCCATCTAAAACTTTAGACACTCAATATATTATATTTATTGAATTATAATGCTAAGAACAATTATAAGATTTCTAAAGTTGACCATTGGGGTTGGTCTAACGTAGCAGAAAACCTAATAACTTTAAAATTTGATAAATTATTATTTCGTTTTGTTTTGTTGTATTGGCTTAATTGCTTATATAGTATATATATATATACACATACATCAAAACACATGATAAAGATAGTTGGTTACTAAAAATACAAAAGTGGAATCGGAAGTCAAAACAATTATTTTCGATTACTAAAAATAGATGTAACCAAATTTCGTAAATAATTAATTAGAAAGAGACTCTGTGATGTAGATATGTACACATGGATATAAATGCGAGCAACAGTGGTGAGGATTTCAACAAAAATGATTCAAACATTTGTTTGACAAAGGTGAACGATGATGAAAACACATACAATATTGTACGGCCTTTTGATATTATATTCGCATATTTCAATTCAGAGATGGTTCCCGAATACGCCGATGCGTAAAATAAAATGATTCAAATATTTTCGGACACCTTTATGGACCAGTAAACTTTTTTTTAAAGCCCATAAAATTATAAGAAGACGCAGATTTTTGGGTCAGTGTTCTAAATTCAGCCCACCATAAACCTGAAGCCCAATGAAGCCCAAACCTAGGTCGTATCGAAATCATCCCATTAGGGTTTTTGGCGGTCTGGAGACTCTGGAGGTTTCGTTTTCACTTTGATGAATCGGTGAAGATGGTGCTGTCGAACAAGAAGCTGAAGCAGAAGATTCGAGAAGATTTGGTTAATTCTCTATCTGTCGCGGTAGCCGAAACCAATCCAGACTCCGTCTCGAACTTGCAATCTCAATCTCTGAAAGAGCTCCTTGATTCAGCCAGCCACAAACCCAGATTGTCAAAGAGAGAGAAACGAAGAAACAGCGATACTTGCGCAAGAGAAGACGAACCCGATGAAGGCATCCGAGTCAAGGAAGTGGAGGGTGACGTTGAGAAAACTGATCAAATGAATCGAAACAAGAGGAAGAGAGACGATACTGTGGAAGGCGAATTAAGTGAAGAAGGAGAAGGTGATGAAGGCACAAAGGAAGGGGATGATTCTCAGAAGAAGAAGAAGAATAAGAAGAAGAAGAAGAAGAAAAAGAAGAAGGCAACCAAAAGGCCTAAGAAGGCTGATGAAGACACTGTAGAAGAGAAGGCTAAGGCAGAAGAGACTCAAGTTGATACAGAGAGGTAAGTTTGTTCGATCGATTTTCTTCGTTTTACGCTCTGATGTTGCCATTAATGTCTTCAGCTATGTATCTTGATTGTGCCTTGTTCGTGTTTGTTTCAGCAAAGAAGAAGATGGGGTTGTTCCCAAGAAGCTATATGTCGGTGGTATTCCTTATCAGAGCACAGAAGATGAGATTCGTAGCTACTTCAGAAGCTGTGGGGTCATCACGAAAGTTGACTGCAAGATGCGTCCTGAAGATGGAGCATTCAGTGGCATTGCTTTCATCACCTTCGAAGTAAGTTTTCATGTAGAACATTGATGTTTCTATTGCGTTATGTTGCTTCGGAGGTCATGTTGAATCGTATAATACATTGCCATGCTGCAGCATTAGTAAATCAAGAACACAAGTCCCTTTCCTTTTGGGGTTTAGGGTCGTTGAAATATTAGCCAGATGAACTTGCCTGAGATTAGACGTTGGTTAAATGGACTGTGTATTAGACATTGGTATCATTTTTTTTTAATTTGTATCTTTTTTTCTTACAGACTGAAGATGGAGCTAATCGTGCTTTGGCTTTTGATAGAGCTGCAATGTGAGTAATCGATAGGCGTTACTGGAATATTTTGGACTTCTTCGTTGTACACACCATTGATATGGTTATGTAACCGTTTCAACTTTTACTTGCAGGGGTGATCGATATTTGACAATCCAGCAATACGTGAAAACCACCACTTCCGTTCCCAGAAGAAGAACGTCTTCTGGTTTCGTTCCAGAGATGGTGGATGGATATCACAGGGTGTACATTGGGAATTTGGCCTGGGACACAACAGAGCGTGACATACGAAAACTCTTCTCTGACTGCGTAATCAACTCAGTCCGGTTGGGGAAAAACAAAGAAACAGGGGAGTTTAAAGGGTACGCGCATGTGGATTTCAAGGATGGCGTGTCTGTGGCCATGGCGCTTAAGCTTGATCAACAGGTTATCTCCGGAAGACCTGTCAAGATTTGCTGCGCTCTTAAAGAGAGAGCAGCAGGGGATGAAACGAACAACATGGAAGAGACTTATGCTGCTGCTGCTGCTGATCCAACACCGGCTTTGGAAGCTAATGACGGAAGCTACTTTGCGGCCACTTTGAGCAGCGGTAAGATCAAAAGGAGGGTCTGTTATGAGTGTGGAGAAAAGGGTCATCTTTCTACAGCCTGTCCCAAGAAGCTTCAAAGTGCTCATGATGATCAGGCAAACGCAAAGATGGATCAAGAGACTGTTAACGCAAGACCGGCTACGCTAGGCTTTGGTTTTCAGAATAACAATGGTGGTTCTTACATGAGTGAGGCATACACTGCTACAAATGAAGCTCATAGTGAAAGCTTAGCATCCGCGGTTAGCAGCGGTAAGATCAAGAGGCGGGTCTGTTACGAGTGTGGAGAAAAGGGTCACCTTTCTACAGCCTGTCCCAAGAAGCTTCAAAGTGCTCATGATGATCAGGCAAACGCAAAGATGGATCAAGAGACTGTTAACGCAAGACCGGCTACGCTAGGCTATGGTTTTCAGAATAACAATGGTGGTTCGTACATGAGTGAGGCTTACACTGCTACAAATGAAGCTCATAGTGAAAGCTTAGCATCAGCGGTTAGCATCGGTAAGATCAAGAGGCGGGTCTGTTACGAGTGTGGAGAAAAGGGTCATCTTTCAACAGCTTGTCCCAAGAAACTTCAAAACACTGATCACACAAACTCTAACGTGAATCACCAGAAGTTTGAGGCAGGACCGATTCAGGTAACAACAAGCTATGATCTTGAGAAGAAACCAGGAGATACAGATATCAATGGCGGTTCGTACATGGACGAGACATATGCTTCTGCTGATCCGATACCTGTCGCTGCCACAAATGGGGCTAGTGAAGCATCCGCGGTTAGCATTGGTAAGATCAAAAGGAGAAAATGTTTCGAGTGTGGAGAAAAGGGTCATCTTTCTTCAGCTTGTCCTACGAAGCAGCAAAAATAGAAGGTGAAACCCCGCAAAGCTCTTTACTAAGACAGCTTTAGACATTGTAACGAAATGTTTAAAATTTTACATTTCAAAGGATCATCATGTAAGAACTTGGGACCATTTCACTTGGTAGGTGAGTGGAGTTTTTTTGGTCCTCTGTTAGATATTCTGTATCGTTTTATAGATTGCTCTTTTTCCATAAATTTGTGGTGGATTTGTGTTACACTGTTTTTTTTTTTACAAATTAATTTATAATATTTAAACGGTTTTTTTATGAATATATTTTTATCATCAAAGTCTATTTCAACAAAGTGTTTGCATATATATTTTCTTTTATAAAAAAGATAATTTATGTTTACGACACTTTAACGTATTTAAAAACCACATAGCAATCATGTTTGTATGTAATGCAATAACGAAACTATACTTTTTGTTTATACCTAATTGTATGAGTAGGTCAAAAATACGATATAACCCCGACAATTCGATTTTTTTTATCACCTTATTAGACTAATTTTTAACTGAAGATGAAAATAAATTACTCGGAGATTTATATATAAGTTTGGTCTACGAAAAAAATCAAACCAATTACAGCTAAATTAATAATAACCCAAAAATCTCTCGCTTCTTTGTACTTTGAATCTCTCTTTTCTCTCTCTGTTGCATGCTTAAGCACGAAACCCAAACACACACAAATCTTTTACTACTCTTCTTCTCGAGTCTTGAACAGTTACCAAAGTTCATCTATTTGATTTGATGGGACCTATCAAAGCGATTAAGAAGAAGAAGAGATCAGCGGAGAAGAAGGTTGATCGAAACGTCTTGCTCGCTGCTGCTGCTGCCGCCTCCTCCGCCGCCGCTGCTCTTCACAGCGACGATTCATCTCAGCCGTTCGATTGGTGGGATGGATTCTCTCGCCGTATTTCTGGTATTGGCTTTATCGTAAATCTCGCTTCTCTCTTCGTTTCTTGGCTTCTCGCATTGGCTTCGTTCAAACGCATTTCTCCGAATCTCGTTGTCGGTTTCGGATTCACGGATGTAGCTTACGTCATCTTGATTCCTCGTTTCTCTATCGATTACTTAGAACTTGCGTTTCACTGTTGAGACAATGATAAGAACAATTTCGATTGATGTGGGTTTTTTTAATTTAGAGGATAACTCTAAAATTCAGTTTTGAGGAATGTGTATGCTTGGTGCTGCAGAGAAGAGATGTTCCTCAATCTTTACTTTGTACACTTTTGAGTATTCTGGTTTCGATCTATTGATTTGAACTAGTTTCTGGGTTTGTATTGATTAAGTAGTTACTGCTTTGAACTAAACGATATCTCTCCCCTGTTATGAAAATCTTGAGTCTTTGAAACTTTGTGTTTCTGTTCATCTTGAATCGTTGAAACTTTGGTTTTTGCAGTCTTCTTTTAGATTATGGAATGTTGCATTTAAGCTTACTATGAGACTATCCTGAGGTTTTTTTTTTGGTTCTTTCGTGTAAGGTCCATATTTGGGGTCAACGGATCCAAAGACATTTGAGTCGGTTTTCAAAGTATCAAGGAAGACATTTGACTACATTTGCTCTCTCGTGAAAGACGATTTCACAGCAAAGCCTGCAAACTTCAGCGACTCGACGGGGAAGCCCTTGTCACTCAACGACCGTGTGGCGGTGGCGCTGAGGAGGCTCGGCTCTGGCGAGTCTCTCTCGGTCATTGGAGAGTCCTTCGGGATGAACCAGTCAACGGTCTCTCAGATCACTTGGCGCTTTGTTGAGTCAATGGAAGAGAGAGCCCTGCACCACCTCTCATGGCCTTCCAAGTTCGACGAGATCAAGTCCAAGTTTGAGAAAATCTCAGGGCTTCCAAACTGCTGTGGAGCAGTCGACATCACGCACATCGTCATGAACCTCCCCGCAGTGGAACCCTCGAACAAAGTTTGGCTTGACGGAGAGAAGAACTTCAGCATGGTGTTGCAGGCGGTGGTGGACCCGGAGATGAGGTTCCTCGACGTGATCGCCGGTTGGCCGGGGAGTCTAAGCGACGACGTCGTGCTCAAGAACTCTGGATTCTTCAAGCTTGTTGAGAAAGGGAAGAGGCTGAGTGGGGAAAAGATTCAGATCTCGGAGAGAAGCGAGCTGAGAGAATACATTGTAGGTGATTCGGGTTTCCCTCTGCTTCCATGGCTTCTCACTCCATACCAGGGCAAACCATTGTCGCTTCCTCAGACAGAGTTCAACAAGAGACACTCGGAGACGAGAAAAGCCGCGCAGATGGCGTTGGCCAGGCTTAAAGACAGGTGGAGGATCATAAACGGGGTGATGTGGATGCCGGATAGGAACCGGTTGCCGAGGATCATCTTTGTCTGTTGCTTGCTGCACAACATTCTTATAGATATGGATGATCAGACTTTGGACGATCCTCTTTTGTCTCACCAACATGACGTGAATTACAGGCAGCGAAGCTGCAAGCTTGTCGATGAGGCTTCTTCTGTCTTGAGAGATGAACTCTCTCACCAATTGTGGGGGGAGAGTTCCTCAGCTTGATTACTATCTCTCTCTCTCTCTAGACCTCTCTCCCTCTCTTCTTGTTCAATGTGTTTAACATTTCTCCGTTTGATTTAATTGAGATATTGGCGTATCCTTTCATAAGATGATTTTTTTATATTTTCTTTACAACTTAACACAACACACATCCTTGTACTACGCAAACCTTAAGCCAACAAGCTTAATGCGGATGATATAACACGGTGACGACGAAAACCATTAAGCTAGACATTGGTTAAGTGAAAACACAAACAACATCACAGACCTCATGTCATAACTTGAGAAAATGATCAAAGATGTATGGATATGTTAATTTCGGTGAGGAGATTTAATGATTAAAACCATGCTCTTTACTTCTTTTAAATTAGTAGTAGCTCGTAACTGTACTTATTACAGTCATTATTAACTAATGTCCATATTTGACCGTTGACCATTTCCATGTTCTTGTCCAAAAAACATGAGACACGTAGCAGAATTTGAGTATAGCATCATATGAGCTTGAGTAGTTTCTTCCGTAAACGTGTTTAAGACATTTCACAACATCAATAACTCTAACTAAAAGTAGCTTTCATCTTTTTCAATTCCTTTTCAATAGTTTGATTTTTCTTTATACTAACTTTTAGCTCATTCCAAGTTTTTTTTATTAGTCATATGTTCTACACTTCTCTCATGTTGTTTAAACCTCTCGTTATAGCAGATACAATTTGGTTTGAGTGAGAAACAATAAAAGAAGCACATTTCTAAATCTCTATCAATTATCATAAGAAAAAAAACATTTGAAAACAAAGTTACACAACCAAAACAGAGAAACCAAACATCTTCTCAAAGTCTCCTTTTCAACCTTATTAAGAGCTTTAACTGAAAAAACGAAGGCCATAACAATGGCTTTTCTAAAGGAATGGAGGTAATATCACCCATCTTCTTGGATACTTTGGTTTTCCATCTTTTCCATCAAATATCTGCAATACCAAAAACATTTTTTTTTTAAAAAAAACCCACATTAAGAACCACAAAATCAAAGCCAAAATTTTAAATCTTTTTTCAAGTTCTGACCTTTCTGAGACGACTGTGCTTTCCAAGAGCCCAATTGGTCATGATAAGAGCGGCGACAGCGAGGAAAACATATCCTGCAACGGTCTGAGTAGCGATATTGAAACCTAGCCATTGGTAAATCTCGGTCGTGTAATTGGCACATGTAACAATGTTGAAGAGGAAACCACGTGGGATCTGGTACCCTCCTGAACCATTGGGGTCTCTAAGATTCTTCAGCAGAATGTGGCAGTAAAAGTTTGCGACTTGGCAAACCAAACCAAACCCGAAACCAATCTTCATCTGAAGGTCACTGACCGGTGTGTACAAAGGATGGTTGACGTAGTACGCAATGTAGGCACCAAAGCTCCAGTAATAAGCACAGTTCCTGAACACATTCCCGATCGGTGAAGTCGCGTGGCTGAACCGGTGGACGAAGAACGTTTCCATGATACGTTTGAAGTAATGAAAGCACCAGTAGTACATAGCGTAGGTCTGCACCGGGTGGATCACACGTTCCTCTCCATAGCCGAGGAATTTGTAAACAGGGAAGTAGTAAAAGACCGGGTAGATTAAGAGTGGACCGAGATACTCGAAGAAGAAGAGCGTGCGGTACGAAACTTGTGCCCCTAAGTCTTTGAAGACTACAGTTAACGAGTCGGTGTTTCCATCGCTGTACTCTTTGAGTGGTTTCTTGCTGTTGAGGACAACAGGTTTGTCTTTTGTTCCAGGAGCCACAGGAAGAGTCAGTCTTTGCCTCGATGGGTAAAACTTCTTAGCTGTTACAAAGCAACAAAAACCCAAATGAAAGTCATACCAAAGTTTTCAACTTTGGATCAAGCTAAAGTGAAAGCATTTGAGCCTAAAAGGGACAGATCCAATAATGAGAAAAGGTTGTAACTTGTAACGATTAATCCAAAACTCCAAACTGGGTTTACAAGCTTATATAATCCTTCATCAGCATAGTTACATTATCAAATCTATATAAACGATAAGCTTCCACACAGATCTTGATTATATAACCCATAAGCATCAGACTCTGAAGGAGAAACTCACCACATTAAGATCAACTACTGCATGAACATCTTTACATGAAACCTAATCACTAGCTTTTATCAGATTAGATCAATTTCAACATTCTAAAAGTCAATTTAGTAGTAACCCAAAAAAGAAAAATGAAGACTTTAGAAACTTTACCTCTCTTATGAAACGCTTCCTGCAGATCAGCAACAGTCGCCTGCGAAGAACAATACACACGAAAGTACCAAAAGAAAAAATCGAATCAAACAACAACCCGAAAATCAGAAAGCATTCTACTTTGAAGAAGGTGTATCGATTGTCTTCCCTACATTTCTCCAAATGAGAAATCGAGCAATCAAACTAGAAACAAAACCCTCAATCGCATTCAGAAACAGAGACCGGAAGCAGATCAACGAGAAAAGTACCGAATCGGGGAGGTCGAGAGGAGCCTTGAGGACTTCTCTGCCGCTGCGGGAGACGACGGTGACCTTCATGGCTTAAGCGGAGAAAACGAGAAAGACCCAGATGAGGAAACTGAGAGAGAGAGAAAGGAAAATTAAATAGAGAGGAGGAAGAAGATGAGATTGGGCATTGAAGTTGTGTAGTTGGGAGTAGGAGAGAACAAACTAACTATCTCCCAACTTACGATATTGGACCCATTTAGTTGCCTCCCATGACTTTTTTTTGTTTGTTTTTGTTTTCTTGGTCCAAAAACATTTGTTTCATTCGATGAACAATCCAATGTTTTGTTTTAAAGGACTTTATATCAAAATGTGAATTCATAAAGAAAACATGTGTGTCTAGAAATCTATATCCCTGTAATTTTATACGGATAAACAATATCGAAATCTTATCGAAACTCAAGTGATGAACTTTTTTGCAAGTTACTGTAGCTTTAAAAGCTTAATATCGCAATTTATTGCAAAGCCGATCATTTGGTTGAACGTATAGTACTAGTGAGCACTCAAATACATTCAAGAATCATCAAAGTAGCTAGTCAATACAGTATTAAATATTAAAAAAAACATTAAAGTGTAAAGTGAGAGATTGTTGTTGGTTGGAATTGGAAGTATGTATTTTCAAATTTATTTTGTGTTTTTTTTTGGGGGTCTAGATGTTAAAGAATGTACTTTCAGTTTTAGAGACTGATGAATCATAATACATCATTTTAATAGATGATGTAAAGGTATCGCAAATTTTAATGTTTGATTGTTGAGTTCGGTTAATACAAACATGATATAGTCAAAAGACAGAGCTAAAGTTGAAACATTATGAATATACATAACTCTTGAACATGTGAGAAAGATAGATGCATGATTTGAGCAGGAATAGCCATTATTGATCCTTGTTTTTTAAGGAAACTGTATTATGAGCCTCGTAATTACAGCAGCCGAACTCCAAAGACGTTCATCGTAATACATTAGAATATTGGCAAATAAGACGTAACTCAAAAGATGTAGTCTCTTGCAATGGTGAGTGACTTGAGTGTACGTACTAAAAACACAGAGTGTGTCTATTTAGATATGGTCAATATAAACTCGTGGTTACATGTGGAGTGTGGATTCTGGTACAGAATAGTCTTGGTGTAAGTATGCATTATGAGTGTGGCTAGTAAACTTGTTAAACAAACAAAAGTAAAGCTAAAGTCAAATGACAAATACAAACGATGTCGATAAGGGAACCAATATCAAGAGATGGTCGGGATTAATTAAATTGATTACAATATATAGATCAATTAAGAGAATGATGGTGGGGAGTATTAAGCAAGGATTATAATGCCAAACTATTCTGTTTACAAATATACCAAGACGACAAAAAAAAGGAGTATGCAGCAAAACCAAAAAAGAATTTTAAAAAAAAAATATTGCAGCCTTTCTCTTATAAAATGGAAATGCGCATGTTCTTGTTGGAATCTAGGAATCTTCTACTAAAGAATGGCACGTGACAACGATTTCCATCTGATGCTACATATATCGATTTTTCCGAGTTAGAAAATCTTGGAAACTATAAGATCAAATTATATGAGGACATATTTGTATCAGTTTAAAAATATATGTAGTGTGTAGATGTGGAATTTGGATGCAGAAAAAGCTGCAAAAGGAGGTGATGCTTTATTACCTACAGAATATGGGCTCATGAGATGAACACTACAGAATCCTACAGATAAGAGAAGATCCTTTTTAGTTGCATGAAAATGAGTTATTAATAAAATAAACACATGCACATTTCTATAAATACGAACTTCTTTTTAATAATATAAAATTCTATAGAAAACAAAAGAGAAGTGCTCCTCTAAAAAAAATATACAAACACTTTGGTAAAAAATAAACCTCTATAAATTTTCTCTATCTAAATATTTCATAGTACTGTTTTTACATTTTTTATAAGTTTTTAAACTTAATTAATAAACTATAATAAATTATTATCTAAAAAACGAAACACAAGATTTCATGACTATGCATCTCGGCCAACAGTTGTTTTCACCTAGTAATTAGAGGTATGATTCGAACTAAGCTTCTTCCGTATTTGTATAAAAGCTTTTCAACATATGAAAACACCCATATTATCCCCTTAAGGATTCTACTATTTCTTTGTGTTTCAGCTTCATCCAACTTTCCAAGTAATTTAAATTAATTGGAAGTTCTTCTGATCGTCTTACTTTGATCATTTCTTACTTGATACGAACAAAAATAAATAAAAAATTATCAGACAGACAGAGTTGATGGATGATATATTGTCCATTTCTCGATTTGTTTTGCTGATTTTGCTTATTTTTTTCCCCTTTTGATCCAAAGCTGATATTGCTAATATATAGTCTAATCTAATATATCGTTTTAGGAGGATAAAAAGACTTGCTTCTTAATGGAATTGATATGTCGTCGAATCGTCAAATACTCAAATCCATCGGAAACAGATATATATATATATATATATATATATATATATATATATATATAAACTGATGACAATTTCAGTGATTTTTCTTTAGCGGTATACTTTAAGCAATATATCGACAAAAAATAATTTCAGAATATATATATGTTTCGTATTTTGAGTTTTTAGAATTAGTTTAATAGATATGCTTTAATCAAAGTTTTGAGTCATATATATTTGTTCAAAAAAAAAAGTTTTGAGTCATAACACTGGGGATCACAATCTAATAAACTAATAATTTACAAGCTTGGATTCAATCATTCAATTGGTGGAAAACTCATGAGCACAACATAACAATCTGAAACAATGTAGTGGAAATTTTACGTGCTGATTTGTGTTCTTTGAGCTGTAGAACCTCTCGTATAGTGCGTATTGAAGTCACCCATTCTACTACGTAATATAGAAATAGTGTGAACTTTTTCTCCCCTATAGCTTTTATATTGATAAATTATATATCATCATTAGATATTTTTTTAATTCTGAATTATATAGTTAGAGATGTTTGCTGTTATGTGTCCTCATACTATGGTCCATTAAAAAGAGGTCTGATATCAAATTTGGACCACAAATCTTTCTTTTAGAAACCGCGGACTAGGACACCTTCCTACAACATGTCTGCCTTTCCTAATCTTACGTACCCTTCACATTTGTAAACATAAATCATCAATAATAGATTGATAATTATAATTCGAAATCTTGTTTCTTTCCTCTCCATATAATATATACTATAATGAACAATTTTATCGGTAAGTTATATTAGGGTACTGTACATGGCTCATGACATCAAGTCTCAAGAAAGAAAAAAGAAACATCCCTGTCGAATCATCATGATTTGATTAGTTGGCTTATGCTTCCTGGTTTTTAGTTTTGTGTTGCAAATTACCCAAATTATCGAGAGTTCTGTATCATTTTAGCGAGGGATAGCAATGAATTAACCAAATTAGCGAGAACTATATAATTGTAAACATTTTTGTTTCTCTTCTATTATCTCTGGTAGCATCTTTGTTAGCAAGATATCACAGTTATTCTGAGTAATACATTTGGAGATTTTATTTATGAAAATAATTTTTTTTTTTTTAAAAGGCATGTTATTGGATCGTAGAATCTTAAAACTCTATTTCAAATCATCTCCTCTATCAGACTAGTAGTAATTTTACTAGACATTGAAATTACAAAGATTCATAAGTTCTAAGTTCTAACTCGAAAATATCTCCATGCAATATAGGTAATTATATTTATATGACAAAAACCATAACGACAATAATGTTAAGAATAATAACGATAAATACTATGTAAAACGAAGCTTGGGGGTCCTACCCGAGGAAAACAAAGGTACACTCGATTGTGACAACTCCACCAAAGACCACCCCACTAACAATTCGCCTTTATTTGTTTCTTTATTCATTCAAAATCTTTTTGATTTTTTAATTAATCTAATTTATTCGCCTCCTTCGTTGTTTTTGACCTTTTTAATATAAAAATGAAAGGAGGTACCTAGGGTTTCTCTCTCTGCATGGCCACTCTCGCTCTTCACATCTCTTTTTAGGCACCACTGTTAACGTATGCGAAGAAAAAAGCTTACATGCTAAGAAAACTCTCTGTCCTTATCGTTTCTCTCATAAAATAAATCCATTTTGCATTATGTTAACCCAATAAATATCCTTGTTGCTGCAATACAATAATTTTTCTTATCCTCAGAAAATTAATATACTCTATTATAGGAATCGGTGATCGCATCGGACAATGAGTGAGTTATCTTCCAGACTACCAACTTAGATATCACTTTGTCTTTTGCTCGTTGGTTGACAAGGAATATACACAAATACACAATACATGACATACTTTTATTTGTTTGGCTTCAACCAAATGTTGTAGTGATCAAGTGATTTGATCAGTTTCATAGTGAGTTAGGGACTATATATCTCTATCTCTAATAGACACATTTTTGACTAATTAACCAGTGTAAATTCATCTAATTAACAGGTCCCGATATCTTCATGCTTGTTTAGGTAAATTAATATACATAATATCGTAATATAATTTGAGATGTTTTGTAAAATATAATATGTAAAGGATATTCTTAGCGAAAATGTCTACATCATCAACAATTTTTTAGTTAAATTTTATTTTAAAAACAATTAGTTGGTCTAGTACTTATATATTTACTAGATATAAATATTTATTGTTAATTTCTTTTTTATAATAATACGATACATTAATGGCTAATAAATATAAATAAACTTCATAAAAGATTAATATATAAAGTTGTATGTCTATGATCTCATCAATAATTCTAAGAATGAAACCATTTCATATAAATTTTTTAAAATCTAGTCTTTATACACATTGAATCGTTTTATCAATTTAATATATACGTACATATACATATTTGTATATTCTTTTTCGTGAACATAATGTATGTTGTTAACAAGAAAAAGACTATTTTATATCACCAATCTTGTTTAAATGATTAAATCCGCACTACATATTTATTAAAAAAAGTTATGTACTCACATAAATTTCGATATAATATCACAAATTTAACATGTTCATATGATAAAAGATTTAAACATGTTTTTAAAATGATATACTAACTTACTACCTTAAGCAACGTGCGACATTAAAATCAGTATAGTGAATGAAATCATGCATATTTGATAATATACAGTCATACAACCAAATAAATAAACAATGACTTACATAGATAATGGACTCGGAAAAATAAGCATAGTAAAATTTGTTCAAATCGACACTTAATTCCAAAAAGGTTAACAATAAATAAGAAGGTTTTTGATGAAAACAAAAAGAAACAAAGAGCGTATAAGAGAATGATGAAAATTGAAAGGAAAAAAGAAAGAGAATTAAGAAACACAATATAAATTAAATAAGGAAACTTCATCTCTTCTTTTTATCTCATTCAGCTCCTCCCTTCTCCTCTCTCTCTTTTCTCCGTTTTCTCTCTCTCTCTCTCTCTCTCTCTCTCTCTCTCTCTCTCTATCAATTCTTGCTTATGTGATGTGATTTTCCACCATATCTGCAAACTCTTACCTAAAAAGAAAGCATCAAACGCTAAACTTAAAGATGGTTTTCTCTTCTCTTCCAGTGAATCAGTTCGATTCACGCAACTGGCAGCAGGTAACCAATCTATGATACTATATGTTCTTGATCTGTTTCTATATTGATCAATTTCTATATATATATTGCTCCAAGTTCGATCGTATCTATATGAAGTGAGTTTTTATTTTGAAAAAAAATTGCTTGCTAGCTTCTTCTTCTTCTTCTTTGAGGACTCCCGGATATACTTAGAGATATTCCTCAGTTAATAAAAACCCATTTTTTCCTTATCTTCTCGAATATACCATAAATATATAATGATGATTTATATTTGCCCCCTTTCTTCAAATTTCAAGACTCGCTTCTTCTTTTCTTGTTTTCAATTAAAGCTCTTGTAGTCTTATATATATGATGAAATTTCTCTTTGTTTAGCATTTACCCTTTTCTTTTTCAGCCATGAATCAAACAAATATAAAATATAAAAGTTACTACGACTTTAGTTTAAGCTATTAATCCATCTTCTTTCTGCAGCTTTGTTTAAAAGCTTTTATAAATCTGCACGTTTTGTCAAAGTAGAACAATATTGATCTACAGTATGTATTTTTCCCTTCTTTTCTTTTTTTTTTTGGTCTCCCACCAATGTTTCAAGCTCGAATCCATTTAGAAAAAGAAAATGCGTTTCTACTTCATCACATTCCTAAGAACTATGTCTTATGTTAATATGCAGCAAGGAAACACACAACAGCTAGACCGTGTCACAAATGATCAGAACCCTAATTTCAGTTCACCACAGTTCTCATCACCGCCGGCTTCTCAGGCTGGCTCGAGCCAAGCTAGGGTGAATTCAATGGTGGAACGTGCTCGGATCGCGAAAGTTCCATTGCCTGAAGCAGCTCTAAAGTGCCCTAGATGTGACTCCACCAATACTAAGTTCTGTTACTTCAACAACTACAACCTCACTCAGCCTCGGCATTTCTGCAAGACATGTCGCCGTTATTGGACACGTGGCGGTGCCCTGAGGAACGTTCCTGTTGGAGGAGGCTTTCGGAGGAACAAGAGAGGCAAATCCAACGGCGGTGGCAGGTCGAAATCTACGGTCGTGGTTTCGGCTGATAGCAACAATACTACTTCGTCGCTTCCTTCTCACCCAAGTTACTCAAACCCTAGCAAGTTTCTTAGCTACGGCCAAATCCCGGGGTTTGCTTCCAGCTTGCCCGCATTGCCTCATTTCCAAAGCCTTGGAGATTACAATTCAAGCAACACTGGACTGGATTTCGGCGGAATTCAGATAAGCAACGCCATGAGCGGGATGAGCTCTAATGGTGGGATCTTGGATCCATGGAGAATATCTTCGTTGCAACAAGCTCAGCAGTTCCCTTTCTTGGCCAACACTACAGGCTTGGAGCAATCTTCAAATGTGTTGTATCCATTACTAGAAGGCAATGAAGGTGTTGATCAAGCTAATCCTCAACAAGAGAGTAGTGATTACTCCAATCAGCTAAGGTCTAAACCCTTGATGGATATGGTTTCAAGCGGGGAAGGGGCCGCGCAACAGAGAGATGTGAAGGCGGAAGAGAATGATCAGGATGGGAACGGAGTGAATAACTTATCGAGAAACTTTTTGGGGAATATTAACATAAATTCCGGAGGGAACGATGAATACACATCATGGGGATCAGGCAATAGCAGCATTAACAGTTCTTGGACCGGTTTCACTTCCAACAACTCAACAGGCCATCTCTCATTCTAAGTACTCGGGCACGATTCTTGATGATTCTTTTGTTGGTTGGGTTGTACATGGGTCGCTCGTCATGGGAGTTATATAGTACTGAGGAGAGATCAAACCAGGGAGCTATGCTAATTTTGGGGCTCAGGGGGGAGGTATGGTTATCAAATTATCTTTTTTTTCTTTTTTCTTTTAGAAGATCTTCAAAGTGTGAGTATGTTTAATTGGTAGCCTTCTGGTGATATTATGCCTTATCAGAATTTGGTGTTATTGGCTATATATATAGAGGTGTGGGTTATGTATTACGGAACTGATAATGGAAACTTTTTGGTGTGTTCAAGTTGAATAAACGATCGAATTTTCAATTTCTTGGAAACCCCTTTTACGAGGTGTATATATAAAGCATGTAATATGTAAAACGTAATTAAGGTCGAATTTCACATACAAAATAAATATATTATTCCAAATATATACTTAAGACTATATATTATTAGAATAATACGTACCGATGTTGTTAAAATGAGGATTATTTTTAATTACTTTCGTTGGTCCAACTTATATTCTGATTCTTTATCTTCTTAAAGATTGTCGTCTTTTTCCTTTTTTCCTTTGCAGAGACGATACACAATTAAATTTTCCTTATTATCTTACAATTAAATGGAACGGATCCAATGTAGTAAATAATATATATAGGAGTAAATTGTGAAACGCAATTTTTATTTTTATTGCATTTGGATCTATTTATGAATACAATATTTAAATAATTTTTTATTTAGCTTGTGTTTGGCTATTGCCTATATATTATATGATTTACGATCAAGTTTTCACTACTAGAACAATAAAAATTGTAGGTTCATGCTGTCATGCATTGAATATTAATTATAACATATACATAGTGTTTTACTCATCTCACTAAGGATATATAGCTAGCTAGATGGGTCATTTATCTCCTAGGGTTCTTGGGTTCCTAGTCATGACAAGGTAATGAGATATGACGATAATTATAATAAGTTGAAAACGTTAACATGAGTATCGATCAGTCGCTACTCCCTCTAATTAAGCATCATTTCTAAAACTTGTTAAACACTAATCTAAGGGTTACTAATCTCCTTGCAATTATCTGGATATATAGACGACGGCTTACTAATCTCCTTGCAATTATATATTATATACTATGTGTTGTCTTTTTTTTGCTTGAAAAAAAAGAGATTAAAAACAAGGGATGCAAAATACGGTTATAAGAAATTCTGGGATTTTTTGTCGTTAGGGACAAAACTAACACAAGACCATCACGCAGAACTATGAGTCAAAAGCACGGATATATATACATAGGTACATACATCCATATACACACTTATACAACGCATTCTTATAGAGAAAGAGACAATCATACTCTCGCTATTTTCTTTTCAAAAAAATACTTATATATAGTTTTTAATATTAAAAGTTTACGAGTTTTTAGGAAACAATCAAATGTTATATATAGTGAAAACGCGACAAAAAAAAATGAAATCAATTTCGATAAAGAAAAAAACAATCCACATTAAACAAAAAGTTCAAATTGAAGTTCTGAATGAAAATAAATATGCGGCACGGAGGGAATATAGAACAAAATTACATACATAAATTTATGTAAAATTTTTATTTCGTCACACTATCTCTTTCAGAACTTGGTTGTATTTGTTTTGATTGATTAAAGTAAACTGAATTGATAAAGAGTGGTAGCATAATGAGTGGCAATCTCCAAGGGATTGTGGAATCTGGGGCTTTTGGATCTGCTTTTGCAATAACCAATGCCCTCAAATAAAGTGTTTCTTTCTCAAAATCATATCACTCTCTTTTACATCCATTAGCACTAGAGAGGTAAAGAAATAATAAAAGTATACACTCATTCCAATATATGCAAAACATAAGATAAAATCGGGGATAAATGTTTAGGAAAATATACAAAATGTTTACTACTATATAGCAAATGCGTCAAAAGGGAGGAAAGAGAACAATATGTTCAAGTCTCGTTCTCCATACCACATGCAGCTTTAGGCCCAAAGGACATGCATCTTTATTACTGCTTCTTCATTTTTTCTTTTATTTGAATGTACGTTTTCATATTATATATTCTCTCCGAGAATGGTGGTTCACAATATTTTACAACCCAAGTGCCTTCAAATCATAATCTCACTATCTCTTTTTTATTATAACAGAATAACCAAATATTATTCACCAGATGTATCTGCCAGGAATATTAGTAGATGCCCTTTTATAATTTGAGTTTCTGTTCTCATCGCTAGAGCTAGAAGTCGAAGATCACACATTGCAATTTAGGGTGAGGCAAACAAAACAACACCTCTCATTTTCAAAATAGTTAATAGTATTATTGTGAATGATTGTAAATTATTGCGTGATCGAATTATTGATGAAACGTGAACTCTAAAATCTAAATATGAATAATATAATTACACAGATGATTGATTCCATAATTAGATGTTTATATATCAATAATTGTTTTTATATATTTTTATTCATGTCTCACGTGTATGCAACATCATATGACCGCTCGTATGGTATCATCAGTGCTGTAAGTGAAGGTTAAAATTGTTAAACCACAATTCTTGCATGAAAGTCTTCGTTTGGGTGCTCCCATCATGAAAGTCTTCATTTTTTCCCTTTTAAGTCATTATTTATGTCGTGTTTCTTCCTTATGTTGGTTTTACATATTCAGGCCAACTATATATATATATATATGAAGTAGGAATTCACGATATTGCCTCCTAAATAATCGAGATAAAGGCATTTAAAACAATATGTTATACTCACACACAAAAAATGAAAACAATATGTTGTTTTTTGCAATTAGAATGCTAAAATCTAATATATCATGTTGTTCTCTTCTTTACACATTTATATTGTTTTTCTAATCACTAAAATGTGTCCCAAAACAAGTTTCTAACCAAGTGATCCTGATAATTATCCGCAGTCGATTCGATTTTCTTCATAAAAAAAAAACCAGTGCATTTCAACAAATGAAGAATCATCAATCACCACACTTTGTCTCAAAATTTTCAGTAAAATACTTCTGCACAAATCACTTAAAATCACACTTTTAAATAATATATTCTACTATTCTTATATGTGACTTTTTTTTTATTGATTACTAAGTTACTACACGATCAAAATTTTATTTGGATTGAAATATGTTTATAAAAATTTGTTTAAAAGCGTAAAATAAAATAAAAATTTAGTCCTAAAAATTTTAAGATGTGTTTGTCATTTTTTGTATTGATCATAAATTTTTTTTATTATCTATTTTATTAAAAATAATTATCTATTTAAGATTATTTTATTATTTAAATAGGTAGAACAAATATACGAAAAAGAATTTAAAATATTCAAATTTTTTAATAATTTTTGATTAGCCAGTTAAAATGTTATTTTAAACCTATTAAAATTTGATTAAGTAGTGTATTCGAGGATTACACTTATTCAATCGAATAGTAAAAGACTAAATCACCTTTATTTTGGTATACAATTTCGATTTTGTTAAAAATGTAATTAAAAGGATTGTGCATGTTGAAAGAGAATGCCCCAAACACAGGGTTAGGCTGGTTTAGCAAAGATGTAAATCTGTCGTCTACATTAATGGGGGCTTGAAAATTGGGTAAGAGTTTGTCACCGCTACATACAGAGCTAGAAGCACTTATTTGGGCAATGCATTGTATGCTCGATGTTGGATGATACTCAGTATCCTTTTTCACGGATAGTTTGGAATTACTGAAGATAGTGTCGGACCCAGAAGGATGGTCAGCATTCTCACTACATCTAGAGGAATATGAAGTGACTAGACAGGAGTTTACTCGTTTCTCCATCTCGAAGATCTCACGCGCGCAAAACACGAATGCGGACAAGTTAGCACGAAGTGCTAGAGATCACCCTTTCCATCTCTATTATGTAAATTCAACACCTCCTACATGATTATCACCATTTTAGAATAATTGTTGAGGCTGTTGACCAAAAAAAAAAAAGATTGTGCATGTTTTAAAAAATTATTGGGGAGTTTCCTCTTTTTTAATTTTTTTTCATTGACAAGAATTTCCTTTCACAACAATTTTCATTTGATTTTTAAATCACAAAAAGATAAATTTCTCAAAAAAATATAAATACACACCGCCCTTTTTATTTCCCTGAAACAACCCTAAAAGTAGAAAATTCTAGACGGTTTCTCTACCATCTATATCAACAAATCCTTGGCTCCCTCATCGTTCTCCCCGAATCTAGTTCTCTCTCTCTCTCTCACGCACACACACACTTTCTCTCTCTATCGCCGGTGGCTTTTACGATGGCAAACAACCAAGCAAGCCTTCTTCTGCAGAAGCAGCTCAAAGGTCTATCTTTGTTCGATTCGTCTAGGGTTTTTGTTTCGCTGTTCTTTCTCGATCTGGGTTTAATTTCTGATTTTGAATTTCCTCTCGCGTTTTGATTGATTGGTTTGATTTTGCGACTGGGTCTCTCAAGTATTGAGCTGAATTTCGTTTTTGGATTAGCTAATTCTGTTGGTTTCTTTCAGATCTGTGCAAGAACCCAGTCGATGGTTTCTCTGCTGGGCTCGTTGATGAGAATAACGTTTTCCAGTGGAGCGTCTCGATCATTGGTCCGCCTGATACTTTGTAGTGAGTTTTTTCTAACTTCTCTTGATTTTTTAACCAGTTTTTGTAAATTCTTAGCTAATTGCTTCTTGATTCAGCATGTTCCTCTGTTTTTATGTTATAGCAATAGAGCATAGAGAACCCTGCTTAGAGATAATTGTGTGTTTTCTATTTGATTATTTCGAAATCCGTATGTCTCAAATTGTGCATTGATTTGAGGGGATTTCTTTAGATTAAACTGTAGTTTACGACATCAAATCTTTTGTATTGCATTTCCTTTTCGTGTTCATTATTGGATTGGTTCTGTTTGTGACATCAATCTTTGTTTTGCATTGGCTTGGCTGATTCATTAAGCTATGTTTGATTACAGTTTAAGTTCCTATAGATGATGTGAGCTTAGATTTAAGGTTGTGTTTTGATGAATTGTTATGGTACCAAAACTCTGAATTGTATTGGCATTGAAACTTATTGTTCTCTGGATTGCAGTGATGGGGGATTTTTTAACGCAATAATGACGTTTCCAGATGATTATCCAAATCTTCCACCAACTGTTCAGTTCACCTCGGAGATGTGGCATCCTAATGGTGAGTGCTTATTCTGAGAAGCAAACTCTCTCCATTCTCGAGCTTTTAGAATGAGTCTTCTGATTGTTTTTGTACCCTTGAATCCAGTTTATTCTGATGGAAAAGTTTGCATATCTATTCTTCATGCTCCTGGTGACGATCCTAATGGATACGAGCTTGCCATAGAACGTTGGAACCCTGTCCACACGGTAAGTGATTCATTCGTTTTCGTTCACAGTTTAGCTTTCCCTTGTGTATGAAGAGGTCACAGAAAGAGACTGATATTGTTTGGTTTTGAGTTTATACTCTGCATTGTGATGCGGGGGACATTAGATTGAACCTCTTTAGTAAGAGTGCTCGAGTGGGGTACGATTGAATATGAAGTATTTAACTTGTTGATAGTGTTTTGAGCTCTCTCTCTTTAGTGGATCATGATCTGAGAGAGCTAATGGGTTCTGTGTGATATGCAGGTAGAAAGCATTATGTTGAGTATCATATCGATGCTGTCGTGTCCCAACGATGAGTCACCGGCAAATGTGGAAGCTGCAAAGGAATGGAGAGACAACAGAGCAGAGTTTAGGAAGAAAGTGAGTCGCTGTGTGAGAAGATCGCAAGAGATGCTATGAGCATCTCTCCTGCGTTTTCGTGTTGTAGAAAATTCGATTCTAATCTTAAGAAAGAGAGAGAGAGAGAGAGAGAGAGAAGAACCATCTTGAAGCAGCATAGATGAGAATATCTGTCTGTCAAAAGCTTTTTTATTTTTATGTTCTTTTTGGTTTTGGGATGTCTTTTTAAGGCTTTTGGACTATTGTGGTGGAATCAAATCCAGTCCACATTTTAGGATTTTATCTCTCTTTATTATGCACTCGTTAATGGATTCGTTTTCTTATATTCCCTTCTGATTTTGTGTTGATCTGATAATTATTCTGGTTTTCGGTTACAAAATACTAGCCACGTCGGCATGACATTATCTTAACTGCAAAATGTCTGAATTTTAAATTCGACAAAAATATTTTAGTTTTGTTATTTTGTTGGTAACTTGGTCTGGTGTCATTGTCAAGATTTGGATTGGCAATCTACTGTCTCTAATAAATGCATTGTATTTAACAGTTTGACCAAATTTGACCAAAATCTAATACAACTACTTCTCAGTTTTGTATTGTTAATGGTTTAATCAAAATTTGAAGTGTAATTGTTTCTATTAATTATGCAGAAAAAAAAAACCCTGACTCGAACCATTTGATGTCTGCAAGGATTGTGATCTAGCCCGCATGCTCATTTGCCATACTGAGGAAACATTTTTTCCATGCGAAGAAGTTTATGAACATAAAAAAAATATGAACATTAGTGTTTCTTCTACACGTTATACTATTGAAATGATCCATCCATCCAAAGCTAAAACCATAAACCATTGTAGACAGTATTCTATACTGTAACTGTAAGTAAACAAAGATAATAGGAAGGTAACAAAAATTATGTGAACATTTTGGTTTGGTTTGATGTTAAGTCTCGTGAAAATGAGTGTGGGAGGAATGGCTCGAACGTCATTTTCACACTTTCTCTAACGACTCCGGCATTGATTACCCGAACAGTTTGTGTTACAGACATTGAAAGTGAGACAAAAAGTTTGGATTTATTGCCTTTGTGTACCTAATCCATTATTTGAAAATAATAATGCAAATATTGCTTTCTTTAATGATTTAGTCAGAAAATGTCTAGTCTAATGTGAAAAACCGGGTTTCAAATCTTCCAAAATGCACTGTCTCGACCTCACCCGGTTGGTCGAATCGTTCTGGCCACTTCTTTAAAAGAAAGCTCATTTGCATTCATTTATTTCGGACCGTTACAACGTTTATTATTTTGTTTGAAACAAAATTATAATTAAAATTCTAAAAATGATGGAAAACTTTAGCAACAAACAATTATTATAAACGGATACAGAGTTGATAATGGCTATCTAAAAAAATTATATATATATCATATATGATCATACATTCACACTTGTAGATTCTCTAACACACTTTTATTGGTAAGTTGTGAAGTTGTAGAATAGTTCCACGATTTCGAAGATTTATACCACTCACAATTTTACTACCAAACCCAGTGTAAAAGATTAATAACTTGAAAAAGAACAATGTCATTTCACAGGTTTATAAGCTTTCTTCACTTCATTTCAGAAAGTATTAACTACATAATAAATCATTTCCATAGTAATCCGTAAGATAATCTTGTTGTTTCTTTCTGTTTGTTTTATAAGTTTTAAGATACATACATACTCTTCCGTTTGTAAGAAATTCTCATGTTTCCTGGTTTCCTTGCACTCCACCGGTAAGGGACATCGCAACTAACCGAACCACGAACATTAAACCGGCCGGTTATCAAACACACACACACTCTCTCTCTCTCTCACTCTTTCTCTGCTTTCTCTTTTTGCATCACTTTCCCTCTCATTCTTCTTTCTTATCTCTCTCTCTCTCTCTCTCTCTCTCTCCCTCATGCCTCGTGACTCCACTTTAAAACCGCCGCACTTCTCATGAGTCTGCGTCTCTCCTCTTCTTCTTCATCAGTGTTAACCACAATCCATCTCCTCCGATCTTCTCCTCCGCCATGCGCTCGCCGCATGCCTTCCGTAACGGCGAATCTCCGACCTCGCGGGACCGCACTCACTTCCACTCCACCGTCGCAGCTCAGAAGCTCCGTCGCTTCAACTCCCTGATCCTCCTCCTCCGCCTCGCCTCTTTCTCCTTCTCACTCGCCTCCGCCGTCTTCATGCTCACCAATTCCCGCGGCTCCGGTTCTCCTCACTGGTACGATTTCGACGCTTTCAGGTTCGATTCTCCTTCTTCGCTTGCTCAATTTCAAAAATCCAAAACTTCATGAGCGAATCTGAATTTTTTTTGTTTTCCAAAATTGAGGTCAGAATCGCGTTTTTATTGTTGTTGTTGTTGCAGATTCGTGTTCGTGGCAAACGCGATCGTGGCGTTATATTCGGTGTTTGAAATGGGAACTTGCGTTTGGGAATTCTCCAGAGAAACCACCTTATGGCCTGAAGCTTTTCAAGTATGGTTCGATTTTGGCCATGACCAGGTTAGTAATTAAAAGAAACATGTTTTCAATGATTGCTTCCAATTTTCTAATTGAGTTAAATTATTTTATTGTTAACTTGATATTCTAGTTAATCCCCCAATTAAATATAATATGCCACACCCATTTCTCCTGGGCACTTACAATTAGTAACACCATTCATGAAAACTTCTTTTCTTAGACAAATAATCTAAATTGCAAATTGCTTTTTAATAGATAGAGACATTCAATAAACAAACGAGACAAGACAAAGAAGCTAAAAGTGAGCAACAACAATAAAAAAGAAACATTTGCGATCGCAATGTGTATGTGTATGTTTTGTCGTAAACTGAAAAATTGGTATCGGGCAGGTGTTCTCTTACCTGTTGCTATCAGCAGGATCGGCTGCAGCAGCATTGGCTAGAACGATGAGGGGAGGTGACACGTGTACGGCTAACAAGGCCTTCTGCTTGCAGTCTGATGTAGCCATTGGCTTAGGCTTTGCTGCTTTTCTCTTCCTCGCTTTCTCTTCTTGTTTCTCTGGTTTTCGAGTCGCATGTTTCCTCATTACAGGCTCTCGTTTTCACCTTTAGAGTGATTTATTATTCTTCAACAACAAAAAGAGTCGTTTGTTACATTTGTTTATGGAGTTGATGATGATATGTTCAAACTTTACCACATATATAAAAAATCAATCAGAAAAAGAAGATATATTTGACCAAAAAAAAAAAAAAAAGATATAAACGTGTTGTGAATCAACATTAATACTGTATATCTTAAGCTCCTGCTTCATTCTTGAGAGATCTTAAGCTTCTGCTACATTCTTGGTTGTTCTGCTCTTCACATTATTTTTCTTAGATTTCTTACAGTAAAAAAAACAACATGATTTGTTGAATCAAAACAGTGAAGAACTTTCAAGTTATAAACATAACCAAAAAATTTACAGTATTCGCTAAATGGATAAAGCTGAAGAAGCAAAAGTTTATCTTGATTTTGTGGTAATGGCTCTAAGCTTCTGCTACAGTCTGAGGTTGCTCTACTTTGACCTTAGCTTTTCCCTTCTTCTTACTATCTTTTGGCTTCTTCTCCTCTTCATCTTTCTCTCCTACACTCAGCTCGATCCTTGCAAAAACAGGATTCGCTTGCGCCATCACTTCTCCTCCCTTTAGCCCTCCCCACTTGGTGTCATTCTAAAGAAAGCAAACAGTTTAAATCAAAAGCAATATCACAGAGTTTTGTGAAATGAACTCACAGGAAAATCAAATCAGGTGACTGAGATTGTTTGTTTACCCAGGTTATGCTATTGAACTGATCAAGTGAATAACCAAGCTGTGAATATATCCTCAGGCTTAAGCAAGGAGCAATGGGGGATAACGCAACCGCTATTATTCTCATTACTTCCAGTATAATCACCAGATCCTGTGATTATCCGCACAAAACCGTCACTAACCTGATCCTCTAATTATCAAATTGGTAACAAATCTTTTGTTTCGTATGAAGAACAGTGACAAGGGAAAGAAGATAAGACCTTGGCTGCAGATTCAGCTGAGTCACCACCTTGTTTGAAAAGTAACCAAGGTGCTCGTTGATCCATGTAGGAGTTTCCAGCATTTCCAATTTCTAACACAGCCTCACACGCCGTTGATAATGATAGATTCTCATAGTTTGTCCGAGCTTTTTCAACCTTTTAATAGAGAATTATACAATTTTCTCACCTGATGAAGCAATTAGAGAAACTAAAGGCATTTAGGAAAGATGCATTAGAAACTTTACCAGCTTCTCCACAGTGTCTTTCAAAGGAATCCCTTCGGCTGCAATAGTGGAATCTACTACTAAAGTGGACTCACAGTTCTTCTTAAGAAGGCCGAGAGTTCGGTTAAGGAGATTTCCTGAAGAGAATTGCAATTAAAACAGTTTTAGAATTAAGTTCCAAGAGGCTAAAACGACTTTAGAGAGTTAGTTTCTTTTATGGTAGTTAAAGAAACCTATCGTGTTGGCGAGATGTGCATTGACGATTTTTATAAAGCGGTCTTCTGAATAGTCTCCATCGTTTCCAAATTCCACCTCTCGGAGGAAGAAGTACCTCACAGCGTCTGGCCCAAATTTCTGAACCAGCTCAAAAGGTTCTAGAGTATTCCCCAACGATTTTCCCATCTTCATTCCATCCTTTAGTTTGATAAAACCATGGAAGCAATGATATCAGAAAACACAAGTTTTAATATCCCTCACATGTAAGTATGACTAAAGGAACTTGGCAAGAACAAGAACTCGTTAAAACATTGAACAAAGCAGTACCTTTGTCAGAAATCCATGGCCAAACACCATCTTTGGAAGGTTAAGACCAGCAGACATTAGCATGGCAGGCCAATAGACGGCATGGAACCGTAGAATATCCTGGTATGATCAAATAGACGAATATAAAATCATGAATCTGGAAACAGATGCGTAAAGAAGGATGTGTTTCTTGTAACGTTTAATATCAATAGAGTTTGATAATGAGTATAATTGTATAAAGCTATACCTTCCCGATCAAATGCAATGAAGCAGGCCAGCCTAATGTAATTGCAGTTTCTAGATTTTGTTGCTCATTGTCCTCTGTTAGAGCTGATATGTAGCTGTAATGAAACAAAGAAGAAAAATTAACACTCAAACTTAATCTCACAACCTGATACAAATCTTTTGTACTTTGCTACCTAATAAACTAGTGGAGACAAAATCTCACAAGCAGTAACCATATAATAAAAATTCAGGGAAAAGAGAAGAGAGATTTACCCCAATAAAGCGTCAAACCAAACATATATGGTTTGCTTATCGTCATCAGGAACAGGAATCCCCCAATCTACTAATGCCCGAGAAATGGAAAAATCTCTTAAACCACTCTTTATCCAAGTTTGCACCTATACAAAAAGCTTATTAGAAAAAAGGACTACAATAGACTGAGCTATAAACAATCTGTATCACCAAAGGTTCACAAGCACTTTACTTGAATGCTACAAAAGGAAGAGGAAAAATCGAAGATTGCATCTCACCTCGTTTAGACGATACGAAGGCTGTACAAAACAAGGATTCTGGGACAAAACTTCTTCAAGAGGTTTCTGATATTTCGACAGAGCAAAGAAGTAGTTGTCTTCTTTCCTTGCAACACATGGCATTTGGTGGACAGGGCAACAATTGTTTTCAAGCAGCTCTTTCTCATCCTGCAGAATTCGGAAAACAAAAACCAAAACTTTATACAGAAAGTAAAAACCTTTTTCTTCCTCATTGAAAGAAAACAAAAACCTTATACTCCTCGCAGTTAACACAGTAAAGCCCTTCATAATCAGCTCTGTATATATCACCGTTTGCGAAAACTCGAGCGTAGAACTCTTTCACGATTGCTTCGTGTTTAGGATCAGTGGTTCTGATGAACTTGTCGTAAGCTATATCGAGTTCTTTCCAAAGAGTTCTATAAGACTGAGAAATGAGGTCACAATGCTCAGCAGGGTTGCGTCCATTAGCAGCTGCTGAGGTAGCTATCTTCTCACCATGCTCGTCTGTGCCTGTGATGAAGATAACCTTCTTCCCAAGCAGCCTCTACACAATCAACAACCACCGCAGAATAAATCATTTTCTGGAGAAAAAACTGAAGCTTTTGAAGAAACCTGGAGATAGAGAGACTGGTTGAGAAACAAACCTGGAAACGAGCGATTGAATCGGCGGCGATAGTTGTGTAGGCACTGCCCATGTGGGGAGGGGCATTTACGTAATAAAGAGGAGTGGTGAGGACGAAAGTCTCGGCTCCGTCGACGTCATTTTCATGGCTGGAAGTGCAATAGAGGGATTTATTGGAGGAGGAGGATTGGGAATAGTAAGGGAGCTTTTTGGAAAATCTGAAGCTATGTCTAGAAGAAGAGAATGGTTTGGTACTGAGGGGAGTATTGAACGGGTTTAACAAACAGAGAGCGTTATGAAACGAAGTGTTCAACCTTGCCGCCATTGATGGGAAGAGTTTCGCCGGAGAAGCAGAGGATGGAGAGAGAGATTGAAGTGGAACTGGCGAATTTGGAGCGCAATTTAGGTTATGTGGTTCGGTTTTTATCGGTAGGCGAAGCGAGTGAACAAAACCGGTTCAAATTGAATAAATTTCAAGAGTCAATTTCGAATCAAAATGTAACCGGCCCTTTGCAAAGCTACGTACTTCTGTACCAATTGTAATTTTGTATGACCATGGTAGACCATTCCAAAATTACTTAAACTCCAATGAAAGAAAATTGGTTTTAAAAACATACTAATTTAAGAAAAAGAAAAAGAAAAAAACACTAATATTGTATAAATTGTATAAATTCTAAACCAATTTGATTTATCAACAGCCGGTACATGGAGGTAGGAGACATAAAAACGTCAATGGTGTCGAGTGATTTAAGTTTTGGACAATTTTTCTTTGAAAATTACTATCCTCTTTTAAATTGAGAATTTGGACTATACCCTTATGAATAAATACTTGATAATATATGTCTTTCAGCTTGCTTGTGCTTATCTTGACTAAGGTTCTACATACTTTAGCTATAATAAAATCTTATGGACAAAGATGAGCTCTTAAAAGCTATCATCATAGTTGAGATGAGATTGGGATATAATAATAAAACCTTTTGAAGGAGAAAAACGAAACAAAAGAGAAAAAAAAAGGCAAAAACACCACACTGGATATCACTGCTCTCTGATCATCCCTCGAGCCATGAGGTCATCAAACCTGGCCTCGAGAAGTTTCCCTTGCTCACGGAGACGTTTAGATTGCTTTTCCTGTTGAATGACATGGTAACCGACGACTGCTGTTGCCACATAATACATTCCATCGACAAAATCCACCGCCGGAGCATTCTCTTTTTTGGTAAAGAGGTGTTTCACCAGGGGACTTGAAAACACCGATTTCACATGTCTCGCTACTGCGCCCGCCATCATCTATTCTGTAACTACTCTTACAGAACAGAACAAGAGAGAGAAACATAAACCTGGTCAATCCCTGAGTCGGATGAAAATATGCCTAAATAGAATGAGGACAAAAGATATATCAATCCCAGAGGGGGAGAATCTACGAAATCAAATCTATAAACAGATCAGTTCTGTAATTACTCTGTAACGATGAAAAAAACATAAACATAGGTCCACCCCTAAATCGTATGTTCATATGCTAAAGACAAACAAACTAAGAAATATCAAGTCCGAAGGAAGAATCGAGCGCAATCTTAATGGATGTGGAGAGAGAGATACCTGACAGAGTGACAGGCCTAAGCGTTCCAGAGATCAAACGTGAAACTGAAACCGTGTTCCCAACCCTTCTCTGGCCTTCCCTTTTTATAGCCAATCAACATCTTTTAGTTGTATTGTGGGCTTACTGGTTTTTGGGTCGTAAGCCCAAAACACATGTTTTCATGATTATCCTAAATTCATTGTTGATTGTTTTTTTTTTTTTATTAACAATCAAATATAAAAATTTATAGATAATATTAAGATTGATGATAATGATGCATATAAAATTATCCACTAGTAATAATAAAAGCTTAACAGAGTAGCACTAATGAATTTCTCAATATTTACCCACTTATGAAAGAATAAAAACACATCTGATTATATATTTTCGTAAACTTAAAATTATTTCTTTATTTTTTTTCTAATGTAAATATATATATATCTATTTGAAAGATCGAAGTATCGTCTTCTTGAATAATAAGCATTCATTTCGCAAAATGTTAAGGTCGGTTCGGGAGAACTGCTTTCAGATTGTCTTCAGAAGCAAAATGAAGGCGGAAGGGTCCTTTACTTAGGTCAGAGCCCACTGGCCAAATTGAGTTTTTCCAGTGCTCCGCTAAGAAAATGATGAGCGACCGGAACGACTGAACTCAAGAGTTACTAAGCGCCATATCAGAGTTAGCTTGTGCGCTTTTGGGTCAGATTTGAGTTATCTGAAGCATGGACTCTAACTCGGGAAGTGCCTAGCAGCGAGTGGGAGGTGTAAACAACTGTTCCTTTGCCTTTTTTTGGCTGAAACAGACGGCGAATAATTTTACTTCTGCAGTGACAAAATTTATGCTGGTGGAGTTTGTACTGTTTTATGTAGTACTGTAGCAAGTATTGAGATATAATAGATTTTTCACCTATGGTGAGAAATTTTTTATGAATATCCGTGAAGATTCATAAAAAAGTGGTGATTTCCTAACAATAGAAGCCAGAGAAAGTTATTTACAGGGGCACATCAATTGTTATATAGTGAAACTTTAAAAAAAAATTTTGAAATTTGTAGCTAATTTGAGACATGAGTTTTTATACCAAAACAACCTCAAACAGCGGTGACGGCGACCAAAGGTGGAGGTGGAGGTGGAGGTGGAGCTGTGACGGTGACCGAAGGTGAAGGTGGAAGTGGAACCGAAGGTGGAGGTGCAGGTGGAGCTGTGACGGTGACTGAAGGTGGAGGTGGAGCCGAAGGTGGAGCTGTGACGGTGACCAAAGGTAAAGGTTCTTTTCCCCAAGTTTTAGCTTTCGTTGGCTTCTTCAAGAAAGTGCAAACTGAAAACAGAAAAATGACAAATTTGTTGCTTAATGTCTTCAGTTTTCTTAATTAAACTATTTGGTTAACAACAACAAAAAACTCTGTAGAACAAGTTGAAAGGTCTAAAATCACAACCAAACAACACAAAATTTACAAGAACTCAGAGAGAAGAAAGCATATATGTAAGTACATTGTTGAGACTCTTCTTGTTGATAACCCTGGAAACGGTCTAACCCTGATCTGCCCTAAACCCTGCAATTGCCATATCCCTGATCTGCCCTAAACTCTGTAACTGCCCTAAGATCTGCTTTAATCCTGATCTGCCCTAACCCAGCAAATCAGACGATTTACGGTAGAGCAGATGATGCACTACAGCTAATATTTGATTACAGAGTTGAGCTGAGAGCAGCAAATCTGTGAGGGAGTGGTGTAAGTTTGTGAGGGAGTGGTGATGTAAGGAAAGGAGAAAGGGTGGTCAATGTGGTCTCATGCAAGACCCGCTTGCTGTGATTTTGATACGCCCAATAGAGCCGAGGGCTACCAATGTGATAGTTTATGGACACCAAATGCCCCCGGCTCTAAACCTGATCTGCCCTAAACCCTAAACCCTAAACCCTGATCTGCCATAAACCCTAAACCCTGATCTGTCCTAATCTGATCTGCCCTAAACCCTAACCCTGATCTGCCCTAACCCTGATCTGCCCTAAACTCTGATCTGCTCTAAATCCTAAACCCTGATCTGCCCTTAACCCAGATCTGCTCTAAACCCTGATATGCCCTAAACCTTAAACCCTGATCTGCCCTAACCCTGATCTGCCCTAACCCTGCAAATGCCCTAAACCCTAAATCCTGATCTGCCCTAACCTTGATCTGCTCTAACCCTGATCTGCCATAAACCCTGATCTGCCCTAACCTTGCAAATGTCCTAATGATCTGCCCTAACTTTGGTCTGTCCTAATCCTGGAAACGTCCTAACCTGATCTGCCTTAACTCCTAATCTGGGGCTGCGCCGATCATTGACATCGCTCAATATAGTCCAATAATTAAAATACACTTGACACATACTACCAAATAAGCCATTCAATAAATTTGAAATATATATTTATTATTTAATTTAAAATTACTGATAATAAATAATACAATTAACTTATTTTTATTAAAAATGTATAACTATTGTTAGACAAGCAAAACAAAATGAAAAAAATAGTTCAATAAACAAATAAGAATTTCAAGAACTGATCAGTTCAGTAAGAATTTCACAACTATTTTTTACAGATTTGATAAGTCCTTATTTCGCTTTTAGTTAATTTTAAATAGGTTACCATTGTTAAACATAAATAATTTATTGTTTTGAAATAGTAATTTTATATTTTCAAGTTATATCGTATTGTTATATAACTTTTTTGAAAACACTAAACTAAGAGTCTCTAAAAAACGTTATAGTCTTTAGGTCTTCAGTTCTTGTAAATTTTGTGTTGCGTGGTTGTGATTTTAGATCTTTCAACTTGTTCCACAGAGTTTTTTTTTGTTTTTTTTGCAGTTAGCCAAATAGTTTAATTAAGAAAATTGGAGACATTAAGCAACAAATTTGTCATTCTTCTGTTTGCAGTTTGCATTTTCTTGAAGAAGCCAAGGAAAGCTAAAACTTGAGGAGGAAAGAGTACCAAGAAGGGACCTGGAAAATCAAAGAAACAAAATGAGAAAACAAAAAAGAGCAAACGGAAGCGAAAGAAGAATAACAGATTATTCGAAACGTTCAAGGTCCGAAAGCAAATGAAAAGAGAAAGATGAAACAAAACAGGAACACAAACAAGCGACCAAATACCAAACTAAAGCTAAATATTCTAGCATTGTCCTTCTTTGCGGATGAAAGAGTTCACTTGGCACCAGGTCCTTCTTGTCGAGGCTCCTGATGACACCGACGGCAACAATCTGCGTCATGTCCCTCACAGCAAAACGTCCAAGCGGTGAGTACTCCGAGAAGGTCTCCACCATCATGGGCTTGGTGGGCGTCATCTTCACCATACCAGCGTCACCACTCTTCAAAAACTTGGGCTCCTTCTCGATGTTCTTACCAGAACGCCTGTCAATCTTGGTCAAGATCTCAGAGAACTTGACTGCAATGTGGGAGGTGTGGCAATCGAGCACTGGGCGTAATCGTTACCGATCTGACCAGGGTGGTTCATGATGATGACCTGGGAGGTAAAGTTAGCAGCACCCTTGGTAGGGTCATCCTTGGAGTTGGATGCAACATACTCACGCTTGAGATCCTTGACAGCAACATTCTTGACGTTGAATCCCACATTTTCACCTGGGAGTGCCTCAAGGAGACTCGTGGTGCATCTCATCAGACTTGACCTCAGTGGTCAACCCTGTAGGAGCAAAGGTCAAAACCATACCGGGCTTGATCATACCAGTCTCAACACGACCCACTGGCACCGTTCCAACACCACAAACTTTGTAGACATCCTGAAATGGGAGACGGAGGAGCTTGTATGATGGCCATTTGGGCTCGTTAGCCTCAAGGAGAACTGGTCCCAAGCGTGAAAGCAAGAAGAGCGTGCTCACGGGTCTGAACATCCTCAAAACCACCAGTGACGAGAGTCAAAGATCAGGACATTACAATCAGCTTGGGAGGTACTAGTAATCATGTTCTTGATGAAATCATGATGTCCAGGTGTGTCAATGGCGGTGCAGTAGTACCACGTTCACGCTCAGCCTTAAGTTTGTCCAACACCCATGCATACTTGAAAAATCATCTCATCACACGCTTGTCAATACCACCAAGCTTGCAGATCAAGTGACCAGTGGTGGTCGACTTTCCAGAGTCGACATGGCCAATGACCACAATGTTGATGTGAAACTTCTCTCTACCCATGACTACTTGTCAAATAAATCTCAGCAATATCGCAAAAAGAAGAGAGTGAAGCGGATATGTTGGAGAAAGAGCAAGTTCATAACACACACATTCAATTTGAATACACAAAATTTCACACAATTTGGATTCCAGTTTCAATTCAGTTCAACAATTAACACAGACAAAAATGTGGAACCACCCGTTTAATAACAGATTTCACAAAGAAAAAACCCTAAAAACATAAGAGCTAATCATAAGAAATTATTACAAATTGGAACCGCTCCCCCCTTCTTTTCTTGTAGTTTCTTCACACGGCCGCAACCATCAATTATCCAATACAAAATCCGTTCATAAACACAAACAAAATCCATTAATCAGCACCAAATCAAGCCCATAAAAAAACCTAGTAATCGACGCCGTCGGTTCACTGAGTTTGTCGGAAAAGCAAGTATAATGAAATCAGCTGAACGACGTTAATTTTTATAACCTCTAAAGGTATAAACATGAAACGACGTCGTAATTATATAAGGAAAACGAAATGGACACCCTTTTATTTCGCGAACAGACTCATTAAAATAAACGGGCTTTAACGGGTCAGCCCAATACGAAACCAACACCATCAACGTCTTTTACCGCAAGTTTAGTAAAAAGTACAATATTTTACTTTAGAAATTTGTACCTACACGGCTACATACCAATCGAATCAATAGTTAGAACTATGGTAGATAAGCCCATGAAGTCCGGCCACGTGTAACAGCAGCTTAGGAGAAACGCCACTTTGACCGCCGAGATAACTGGACTTGGACAAACGACTCTTTTTGGGACGGCGTTTCACACGTGTGGGGGCCACCATGCACCCATCCATTTTATTTACATAAACATTAAAAAATGATTCATTTTATTTACATAAACTTTAAAAAATGATTCACATAAATCTGTTGTGACTTGTCAAAATATAGTTCATTTTCTAGTGGAAAATATATATACTACCTTCTCTTCTCGTTATTAATCTTTTTCAATGT